GAAATTAGACATCACACAATTTTATCTGTAGGCCACCACTTCCACCATACCCAAACATTTATTTCTCCAAAACTATTGCTAATGACGACAAAGATTAGTTTTACTTCAGGAAGGATTTAACAGTTCCAACACGTTTACTCTTCTAATACTGTACCAAAAGAAAGAAGAGATGTACCTCCAATATTGTACATAATAGTATATACAAAGTACAAGTTTCTTGTTTTGCTTTTTGATTTGACAGGAAAATATATACACCGCATGGAGAGATTGGTGTAGAAGATAAGGAACAATTGAAAATTGCTTTTAAATAAAAATATTTCATTCCAAACCCATTACAGCTGCAATTAATTAAAAATGCACTGTGTGGACTCAAACCTGACTTCACAGGATTAGATTTTAACACAAAAACTGAAAATTGCTTCAGTGTGCAACTGAACTGTGTTACATACAGTAGAATAAAGACAGCACTGCCCTTCTTTTTCAAATACGTTTACTTCAGCGTTTGCTGGGTTTTGGCTACATGGATTTCAGTCTGTCTTTTCTGTTACCTGTTTGTATTTTAAATATATTGCTCTAACATTTTGGCACTCACAGAGCCCAATCCATGAAGCTCTCTGTGGGCAGATTACTCCCTCCTACTTTCAGAGACAGAGTGATTAAGCAGCAAAAATCCTTTAAAAAATTATTAGAATGCTGCTACAGTAATGAAGATAATTTTCACTTCACTTGTTTAGAAGCAAAAATGGCCCAAAAGATACATATACATATATATAGATATATATTTAAATATACAATCTGTTCTTGCAGTGTTAAATTGTTTTAAAAAACTATCTCAAAAGTTTAAATATTTTTCCACCCCATGCTTGCATGATCACCTCAGATGGAAACATTGATTAAATATTTTTTCCTTTCCATTTAAAAGCAAGTGAATTGGAAGAGTTGTTAATATTTTTAAAAGCAGCTACTGCTCATGCATAGTTATTATTTGTGTGCTACACAGCAGAGAAAAAGTAGGCTATTTCTCCATGCCTTGTGCAGTCTGAACATGATTTCAGATTGGCTGAGGTTGGAAACATTTCTGAGAACTGTAAAGCTGTAAGCAATATAGAATGCTTGCTGTGAATAAAATGTATTAGTATTCACCAGTTGTGGGAGATTATTCAGCACCATGTTCATGCCAACACTGGGAAAATAACTCCCCAAATGCATTGTCTCTTTGAGAAATTACAGCCTAAGGCCACCGCTTGATATTTCATAAATTGCAAATCTGACTGAAGGCTCATAATCAGAACAACTAGCTGCTTTTCTTCCTGTTTCTTAATTTTTTTTTATTAAACTTCTGTAGTTACTTAAAGCCATCTTAAACTTGTACATTGCTTTCTAGAAAAGGTTCAGTGGAAATCAGTTTTAGCCCTGAAAAGTTTTCAATCCTGTGGGGCTATGGTCCATCTAGAAATGTGCTTAGAAATAAGCAAATTGGCCATTAAGGAGTTTGCATGCATCTATTATGTTCAGATGCTTTCTGGAATCAAGAACAAATCAGAACTTGGAAACTGGTGGCTTTAGAATTTACTGTTTTTTATGTTATTGTCAGGCCTCAATAATCAAGCCTTTCTCTTGAAACTACTCAGAAAACTGGAGACACCCACCAAAGCAAAAGAAATATAAAAGTAGATTTTTATATTTCTGGTATAATCCTTCCTCAGCTGCCTTCTTCAGATAGCAGAGAAAAGTAGGAATGGTGATGGTAATTGAGGAGTGGGCTTGTCTGTCTTCCACTAAATTTTGATTAATCTAGAGGTGGCTAGCTGGGACAAGGAAGGATTAAGATCAGTTGTGAAATAAAAACTCAAGTTAGAGTTTCAAGTAGGCAAGTAAAAGTTTATGCAGCTCTGAACTGACATGAAGTCATGATCCTGTAGGACAGGGGTGTCAAACTCAATGTCTGTGGACTAGATGCAGCCTTAGATTTGTGCTTAGATTTGACCTTGGGGCCACCCCAGAAACAACGAAGAACTAGCCCGTGGTGCCTCTGCCAGTGAAAACGTAATCTAGGAGGCCCACATACGGCCACCCAAGCTCCATTTTCGGCCGTGACAGCCTCCTGCACCCCTTTGCCAGCAAAAACAGAGCTCAGAAACCTCCATTTTTTGCTGGCAGAGGATTGCAGAAGGCAGTCATAGCCAAAAATGGAGCCTGGGCAGGCCACATGAGGCCTCCCCGAGCTCCGTTTTCACTGCCAAAGGGCTGCAGGAGGCCATCATGGCCAAAAAGAGCCTCGACAAGTAACATTGAGCTGGCCACGCCTACTCTGGACATGTCCATCCCAACCACATACACCCTGGCCCCGAGGTGAAACACAACTCTGATGCGGCCCTCAATTAAATTGAGTTTGACACCTCTGTTGTAGGAAATATCAGTTAGTCAAGAATTATTCTAGGGGCTTATTATAAGTTGCCTATTCCTGAAGGGTCAAAACTGAAAAAGTTCCTGCTTTGCCTGCTCTACTCTCCATGTCAAGGGCAAGTCTATTACCTTAATAGAACAATATTTAAATGAAGAATTGTAGAGTAGTATGAAAAACTATGATGGTTCATGCTCACAGTAACCAGCATTTTCCAGGCTTTTTCACAATATGAGTAGCAAAAAGAGTATTATTTTATTGTTCAGAATTCTGCTCAGAAAACTAACAGCTAACTGTCTTTCTTTCAAATGTCTGCTTAGATTACTTTCATATGTTTATCAGGTGATACTTTCATAGAAGACACTACTTAAAAATCATGGTTCCAGTTATCAATATTTGGCTTTAAAATTCAGGAAGATTTTAACTAAAAAAAGCACAAAACTATGGGTAAGATTCCAGTTCCATAAAACAGTTTACGGGCAACTTGTGTTGCAAAAACTGGATAATCCTATGTTTACTTTGCAGGAAATGCTATTAAGTTTGATGGGAGTTGTTTTCTAATTTTACCTGAATTTGGCTACAAAATATGATAAATGCAATGCATTTGTAGACATCTTATATTGAGAATGATTTATTACATGTTACACAGATTTATTACAGTAGCTAAAAAGAGTTATTAATACGTCTAGTCATAAAAGTTTCTGTATCACTGCTTAATTTAGATTACATTGCTTATGGCATGACTTTGGAAGACTTTGTTCATAGTAGCAGCCAAAAACAATCAAAAGTTCTTGGCTGAAAGTTCTGTACTTCATCTGTTCCTGCTGGTAAAAGACCTTCCAGATATAAGTTGCCATTATATATATTGATGGATACTGACAAAAGAAACATTAATGTGTCATCTAATCATTTCTGGCCATTAGCACCAAAGTTAGAATTGTGCCAATTACTTTAAGAAATCTTCTCTTCTATCCTCTGAACATCAGTACTTTCTTCTATGTATAGGTAGAAATAGGAACTTCCAAGCATCTTAAGAATTTCACCAAAGTAGAATGATGGAAATCCATGACTATTAATTAACACAACAATCAATGAAGATTTGTCATGTCAATGTGACCCAACTTAATCATCTCTCTTTCTGCAACACTCTGCTCATCATATATCTGGGGAAAGCATTTTACATTTGAATGTGTAGCGGAAGCTATTCCCATACCTACAGATTTTAAGATAGGTGATTTAAATATTTATATATGCAAAATAAACCTCTGTGTACACTTAGATTCTAGTTGAGGGACACTTAATTGTATGTAAATTGAGAATTCTGCCAGTGGAGGGTGGGGGAGGGAGGAGAGAAAACACATACCAAAAGGACAGTTAAATAGACAAAAATTGCCAACTGCTACCTGCATAAAAACATTCTTAATGCACACACACATACACACACAACCCAGTTGTGTAACTGGAATCTTTCCAGGGGAACAAAGCATGGTATAAACCTAGTAAAAATGAAGTGTAATATACTTGAGTTATTTTGATTAGCAAGGTTGCCCATCACCTTGCAAAATGAGATATGCCTGTTCACACCATGTGACAAGGCTTTTCATGTGCTCTTAATGAAAGGGAGACTTTCAGTAGGCATTGGGGGTTTATTAGTATCAGTGCTCTAGGAGAGAGACATAATGGTGATCCTCCTTCTGGCCACCACAGGCAAAAAAAAACCAAACAAACCCTCTGCCTTAAAAATTAGTATAATCTTTTAAAAAAAGTATTCTAAAATATCAAGTAGTTTTGCCTGAGTGAAACATAATAGGAAGGAAGGAGTTCTGACCAATCCTGAGAGTTAATTTCAGACTGAAGTACTCAAGTCTAAAAATTCAAGATGTAGAAGAAATGTGGACTCACAAACAGGGAAAAAATGATCCCCCAAATCCACATGGTTTGATCTGAGATTGTGAGGCCTTTTACAGGCAATTAAATATCCAAGCATTTGGGGGGAGAGGAGCAAGAAAATAAAAAGAAAAGATCAGTTTAAATAATAGCCATAATCTGAAAAAAAAAAACCTCTGTCAATTTGTTCACAGAATTATTTTAAAAAATTGACTATAATCATAAGAAAAACAGGCTGGAATTGGAAACCTAGAGCATTAAACAAACACATTTCAGTTCTTTATCTCAGCATCAGTTGACAATTGGAGAAGTGGGATAAAATCCATTTTAATTCAAAATCCTTCTTCTGTTTTTAGGACGGTCCTATCTTGAATAGGAATTTATTTTCCAATAAATGAAAACCAAAGTCTTTGTCATTTGTTGGAATTTGGAACCAGTGTAATCCATCATAGAAAATATCACGTTAAGCTGATACATTGGATAATCTGTGAAATACTTGAGGAAAGGGTAATCTATCTCAGAAATATGGTGCGTACTGGACCATAACCTCAAGACTGCTGGTTTTCTTAAATTTAGGCTGCCAATTATATCTCAAACACATGGCAGACTGGGTGAGAAAAACTAAATGAACTGTAATAGCTTGTTTTAAATTTTTAACATTTCTTCAGTTTGTCTGCTGGGTCCTCATGAAAAAAGGCTATTTAATTGAAATCTCATTCTGAAAGATTTGGGTTTCCTTATGTTCTGGAAGCACCATGGAAATATATACAGTAAATAGAAAGTGTTTTATGTGTGTAAGATCTCATACTTTTTCTTTCTCCCATAAAATTAGTTTAACTTTAAATGAACATACATGTCTGTATATAAACATGCCTTATTCGCCCAGGACTAGGCCTTCCAGGCACATTTCATAAGGATTTTCAACCTAGGATTGAAACCACTGAACCTAGTGTTTGAGAATGGGTATGCCTGAAAAGAGACCAAAGAGAATGGAAAATTAATACATCTTGTAGCACTATTGAGGACTGAAGTCATGCGCAAAACCCACTTACCAGTGGCAACAAAAGCATCCATCAATAACAAACACCTTATTGTTTTCCCTGTAGTGGTTGAAGCAAGAAAATCCTTTCTACTAATATCCAAGTCATGTGGTCATTGAAACGTCTCCCAGCGACCAGACACTTGAACAAAGCATTGATTAGTTACCAGTAATAGGCTAATTAATTGTGCCTTTCCCTCATTGATTTCACAAGGACCTCAGGCTTTCTGTCTCAGGTTACACAGACTTTTGACACCCTAGTAAATGCCAAGGGTGGTGTAATGCGAGGCTTAATTAGCTGGATCTTTCTTGGTGGGAACATTCCTGGCACCAGTAACTTATGAACTAATCTTTAGTAGAAGTTCAATACTAATTAAATAGAAATTGTAAGGTCTCCTTAACAGAGTTTCCTAAGCTGAAACAAAAATTCTGTATTCACAGTAGGCTTTTCAGTTTTACACAGTACAAGACTTGTCAGTAGACTGTTGAGAAGCTGAGGCAACTGCAGCGCTTGAGGAGTTTGTTTTGGGGAAAACTGCTGGCTTTGGCCTAGTGGCTGGAGGTTTGACCTGGGCAGCCATTTTGACAGATTTTGCTGGCCTGAAGGCACAGGGAATGTCGCTTGCTGTGCTGGCACTCCGCTGAAAGGCTGGTTCTGGGTCCTTGAGGATTTGAGTATGCAAAGGGCTGGAAGGCTCAGAGGTGGGTGCAACTACAGGGGACATTTTTAATGGCTCCAGCGTATCAAGAACAACATCTGGTGTGTGTTTCACATTGCTTTGCCTTTCCAGCTCCCGCAACTCATTCAGAGCAGAATTCATAGTAGCTTCGATATCCTGCAAAAAAGAAAAAAAAAGTTGGATGTGACAACTAGAAGCTGGGTTGACCAATTGTCAATAGTGAATAGGAAATATGAAGCAAAATGGACAGTGGTAGACGCAAAGGCATGGAAGGACTTGGAGCCAATATTAATCCCCTTGGCAAGACTAGTATCATCCTTGCCTTGAAACTAGAATACTGCTAATAATATCTAAAAACCTGTCCTTAGGGTTTTAGATGGCAGACAGCTTAGTTGGCCATGCAAGTTTTCATATAATTTGTATAAGTGAGCTGTAGATATTTTCTTTGAACTTCATTAACATTCTCAGTCTCCTTTTTAATCCTTCAAACTAAAATTCAGAAAACCAGTGAATTCCATGGTTTTACTCTGATTCTAAATGATGGTTTTTAAATGGAAGCTTTTTTTAAAAAAAAAAAAGCTTTTAATTAGTAAAACTACAGCAGCAAAAAATCTTGAACAGATTATAACAGAAGTCAAAAGGGCATACTGATCTATATTTTCCTCAAATCTGTTTCCTCAGTCTATAGAAAAGGAGAAATTACCCACATTTTGAGTATTTTTTATCCATTCCTTTGGTATACCAAGCTGAACCTTGAGAGTGCTGAGATTCCTGAAAAGAATGGAAACATGCTTAGCTGCATGCTAGCTTCATGGTTAATGAGTGGTATTCCACTTTGCATCTGGAGCATGGCATATCTCAGCATCTCCTCATTGATGCTACATATTTTATGGCATTTTAAACATCCATAAGCTCTGGAGATGTATGAAAAATGTTGCTCACATGATACCTGTCTCTTTATGTGGTTAATGCAAGAAATAATGCAAGAGACAAGTAGGGAAATGTGTCAGGCAAATCTCTTCTCTTGTTTCAGTTTTAAGTCCACAAATTTACTTAGCATTTCAGCTATGGATGTGGACTTGCCTGGCATAATAGATTTTTGGACAGCTGAAATGATTTAACATTTCCATGACTCACAGTTTGGCTACAACATTGTAAGTTTCCTCATAGATATTTTAAAGGCACTAGGGGAGGTAAATCAGTCCAGGAGGAGAAAGAGGAGGAAGCAAAGACAGTAACCCAATGCCTCTGATTGCAGTCTGAAAAGATTTTAAAGCTAAATACAGATCTTGGAGAGATAGTGATGTCAGATGAAAGATGAGTATTTGAAATCAGACCTGGGAGGATATGAAAGGACAGCTATAATTTAATGTAACCTTTTTTAGTTTTATTGATCAGATTCCCTTATGGAAACAATGAATTACATTTTGGCAGAAAGAGGAGAGAGGATAAAAGCAGATTTTAATTGAAAGCAAAAATATATAAACCATTAAAAACTTTGTAAAGAGATATCAAGGCAAAAATATCCAAGTATATGGAAAGGATAAAACACATTTGTGAAGAAGAGAACCATAACAGATATTAACAATTAGACTACAGAACAGGAAATAAAGAAGTTGACTCTTGCCCAAGCTGGTAAAAACCAAGCCATAACATCTACCTATTTGCTGGCCAAAATCATAGAATTGGAAATGATGTTAATATTAATTTAAGATTGCAATTACATGTTTTTGAAATAAGTAATGTAATACATGATTAGTATACGGTTATATTCCAATTGTCATCTGGTTATATCTTTTGCTAATTTTCAACATGTCAACACAACTTGAAAAGAATAACAAGTAAGAATTTCTTATATTTAGATTCTATCCTTTGAGAGTGGCATAAGACTCTTCTTGAGTGGCTGCATCTTGCTGCTCTCAAAAATCGTTAAGCAAGGTCAGAACTGGTTAGTATGAGAGACATTAAGAAAAACCCATGGTTGTTGGCTATATTGGGAAGTTGGGAAAGAAGGTACTGTAATGGTAGGCCACTTTTATACTGTTGCAAAGAAATTACATGAATGTCCCTCAGAAATTTGCTCAAAGCCTGCAAAATTAGGCAGGAAAAACACATGAAATAGCTAGGAGTTAAAGGCTGTGGCTTAGCCAATTAAATATAAGTACTGCTGCTATCCCAAAACCTCCTTTTCTGTGTGCTGCCTTTTAGAATATGACATTATGACTTTCCCCCTCAATTCCAGTATAATTTCAGTTTTGGAATGCATTGCTTTGCACTGCAATATTCTCATATTTTTTGTTACAAACCGATCACATATTGAAAACGGAAAAACTGGCCAAAAATCCAAGCATAACTGAAGAAGAAACAGTAATGAAAAACTACTCTCTATGTGTAGTACAATATCGGTAAACTTAGCTGCTCTGTTGTTTATGGATACTGGAAGTTTTTTAAAAATCCCATCTGCTTTAGTATTGCTCATTTCTAATGTCTTTAAAATGTGGGCAGAGCTGCTGAAAAGAACTAATTGAACAAAACTGGATACAAGACCCTCCTGATGAACTTAAGATTTTTATAGTATGTTTATATTGGCTTGTATCTCATGCTGGACTATTTTAACCAGAATGCTGGACTATTGACCTTTTATGAAAGCAATACATCAATAGTGAAGAGAAGGAGAGCCCCATGTTTGTGCACGTTTTAAATCTGGCTTCACCATCCAGCTTGGGAGAAAGTTCCAGCTAAGAGACAAGGTATTTTCCTGTGTGGGCTTGGTTTAAATGTCTCAGCATCCATATCCGGTCACAGCTGTGTATACACACATGCAGAGAATACCAGCCCATATTTCTGCCAACAGAAACAAAGTGAGCCGCTTTGTTCAAAGGATAGCTTCTTATCACAGACAGACACTGAGAAAGCAAAAAGGGGGGGAAAAAGTCCTAAAAAAACAAGGCAGGTGGCTGTTCTTCTAGACGTCTTCTCTTGTGACTCTTCAACATCTAACCGGCCAAGCACACACAAAATTGACTACAGTTTGAAAACAATGATGAAGAAAGCCCTGCTTTTCTAACATTTTGTGCTCAGAGATTCAAACGCTATTGATAGAAAAGATGCTGGAATCTTATTATCTTATATCTTATCATTAAGAAGTGGCTCAGATTCCATAAGGTTATGAAAATATTTTCCCAGATGATTTATGAGAAGTAAAATGACATAGTAAATCTTTATGAATAATAACAGTGATCAGAAAGCCATAGATTGAAGAAATAAATCAAATTTCAATTCAAATAGTTATTCTACAAAATAAGAGGAGCTATACTGGTGAGAGTGATTAGGATGCTACTATGGAGTTCATTCCCTCACTGCTGGTCTCATTAGGACCTCACTTTATTAGCTGCAGAAAACTAGAGAAGGGATGTAAAAATTTTCAGATCTATTTACAGTTCATTTTATTAAGCTAGATTATATAAGTGATAAGAGATGATCTTTGATTATATAGGATAAAATCCAATTAAAAAGCATACACTGTGTAAAATGTAAGATTTGCTGAATCTGTTTATAGGTAACTACAGTTCCATGATGTTAAATATTTGAACGATGTAAGGAGAAAGAACTGATTTTCTATTTACAGTGCTACTTTAGTTAAAGGGAACATGAAAATCTGGCCAGTTCCCTCAACAGTATTGGCTATGAAAACTTTTTCTGTTATATTACATATAATAGAGAACATATTTTTAGCATTTGGGTTTACCTCCAGAAACAGAATAAGCTTCTCCCAAAGTTTAGGAAGTTACAAAGTTCTCAATAAAATATGTATGTCTGTATTTAATGGAGATGCTTTTCAGCTCACGATATGTTTCTTTTCCAGCCTCCTTGAATCTGTGAATATTGATCCTACACAGACAAAATGTAGTAATTGTTTCATGCTTTTGGGATTGATTAAACATGCAGCAATCACAAACTGAGCTGATGTTTTAGAAGTGAAAAACAGACTTTCAATTTTTTAAAAAACTGTAAAATATTCAGATTTGAATTTGAAATTCAAAATCAAAGGTTACCTCATAATTCAAAACTTGACTTGTTTTGATCACCTCTAAGGGGACGTTTCCTGATCTGAAGCAAATACTGAAGCAAAATATACATTATTGACATCAAATAATACTTGTTGCCCACATCAAAATATTCAGAGAATATCTGGAAAATATTTTGAGTATTCTATGAATGTAATGAATATCAACATCAAACTCACCAAAGAGATTTTAAAATGATTGCAGGAGATGAAAGGATCGATTTGGTATTCTTTTAAGATCACCCTGGCCTAGAATTTCATTACCTGTGCAATGACTTCAGGATCCATGGGTCGGTGGTTATTAAAGCTCTTTGACCTTCCTGCAGTCACGTTCTTCCGGATATGGGGGCTATCTATTCTGTTCTTTAGAGAGGCATGCCGACTGAGAGAATTGAGGCTCCCATGGCCACTGATAGAGCATGCATCTGGGACTGGTACATCCTTTGGGAGGCTTTGGCTCATAATGGGTTGTGAGGAAGGACGAGGACTGGCTATAGCTCCAGATGGTGTGGGTTCCCCCAGCGAGCTGGGCAATCCATGGCTGTCACTCTGACGGAATGCTCTTCGTATACTCCCTGACTCAGGCTTCTTTCTTTGTCTGTCATTATAAAAGCAATAAAAATGCATTTTTCAAACAACATGGGTAGAAATAACTTCTGGACAAAGGCAATTTCAGAAATGAAAGAAAGTTGCTCAATGAGCATTCTGCAGAATACTACCACTTTACTTTAGTTGTTAACACTAGTGAACAATACCTTTCTAGAATGCTTTCAAAATGCTTTTCAAACACCTGTTTCACATTGAAACTCAGACATTTTAAATGGATGGAGTATATTTCATTCGCAGAACAGGTTGCGTGTGCAACTTTTGCATATCCATATTACGTTGCACACAGTAAGAAACAGACACTTTATCTAACCCAAACTTGATTTTTATATTTCAGGATTTAAATAAAAAGCAATATTAAATAGGAACTGCTATATCATATAATCATGTGAACTACTCTATGTGGAGCCCTTATAATAAATAAATCAAATAAATAAAAGATTTTATAGTTCTGTACATGTGATTTTACAGAAGCTTATCACCCTGGGAAAGTTATATAAATGGGAACAAAAGAGCACAGGCCATGAAGAAAATAAGGTGAGTCCTTCTTTGTTTGACACTGATGGGAGAACACAGAATCAAGCGGTGCTAAAAGGTATATCCTAAATACTTGAAAAATTAATAAGTCTCATCAACATTATAGATTTGGAGATCATAATAGTACGTGACTATTTTCACTTCACAAGAAATAGTACTTTCTTCCTAGCCAATGGACCATTTTTATGCTATAAAGAAATGCTGATAGGGCTTACTTATTGATATTTGCAAGATAAATGTCAGCCACATGGCTGCCGCTTGGACAATTTGAACCAGCTCTGGCTGTCACTTTTTCTTCAGGTGGCTCGGAATTGATTTCTACTTCAGATTTTGGGCTTGATCTTTCAGACATCCCATCCTCACTAGGAAAGAAAAAACATACAACAACTCTATGTTATATCCTTAAGCTGCATTATTAGGGTATAAAACATAGGTGCCATGGACATTTTATCAACACAATTCTTTTACTCCCTTGCTTAAAGGGATCTTCCGTGGAGTAGCCAAAAAGCAGTTTGTAAAACTATTGAGGAAGATTTTATTGATAAGTTCAAAAACATAAAACATAGAAGCAACATTTCAGAACGCTCTACATGAACAAATGAAAAACATTTCAATGAATCATCTTCAGAAATAATGTTAAATTGATTCCTGCTTTTCTAAACACACAACTGTAAGAAATAACATACGTGTCCTGGACAACAATGTACTGATGAGGGATCAAACCGTCAATGCCATTGTGACGGCCTTCCCACCAGTCGTCAGAAGCCCGGTGATAAAGCAGGAGAGAAGCCCCCTTTTTGAAGGACAGCTCGCGTGCAGTTCTGCCCGAGTAGTCAAATTTGGCTATTGCTTCAATGGGTTCACATTCTAGAACAAAATGGGAAAATTTTCTGAATTTGTTATCCTGTGTGTGTGTGTGTGTGTGTGTGTGTGTGTGTATACATGCATGCGCAGGTTTATACACAATGTCCTAGAGGCTCCATATAAAGACATTAACAGAAGCACAATTTTATAACCCAGTGATCATTTTATAATCAGCTAAGTATCATCAATCTTAAACAAAGGGAAAGGTAATGTAAACAAACAAAATGAATATTAGCAGCTAACAGAGTGACATCAGATTTTGAGAGCAAGTACAGCATAGGTAATGCATGTCATCCCTTCTCTCTGCTTTTTTTTAGCACCTTCCTGGTGTCCTTTCCCACCAGCCACCAAATTTCCCAAACTTAGCAGCACCTTCTCTTCCTTCTATTTCCTCAAATACTGCTTCCATCAATGTGCTGGTTTATGCTCCCACTCCTTATTGCAATGATCTAAGGAGTATGGAACAGACTCTCAGTGTAACAATGGTCCATCAGCCCATCTACCCCTAAAGTCTTGAAGTGTTTCCCTTTCTTTCCTTTTCATGTGCATCTGCCAATATCCTTGGCTTTTCCTCTTCTTACCTCCTGAACAATTTGTTTGCTGCCTGTAACTAGAACAAAACACTTTTCATTTTGTCCTATCACATCCAAACTGTCTGTTTTGATTCAGGTGCAAATCATCCCAAAACAGTTGTTCCATACACAAAACAATTTGTGCACAGAATGTTCTGCACATCTTTAACTAAAACACTTATAAATTTAATACCGATGTCCGGTGTGTTAAATGTTTGTTGCCATCAGATAAAATGTGTGAATCTAAAAATATGTGCTAATTGCCCAATAGCAGTGGAAGGAAAAGAACATTATTGCAAAAGGAATATAATGGAATCAATTTCTCTTACAGGTTATTTTTCAGAATTCATAATGATATTTTTCAAGTTTTGTGCAATACCCACAATAATGTTCTTCCAAGATGATATTTCAATGTTTCATTCCAAATATGTGAAAAAAACGGGACTGTGGAAGAATCTGTCAGACACAGCTTACCATCATCACTTGTATGGTGTTCAATAGTTATATCCTGAGTGGCATCTTCTGTGGAGGCAGTCTCTCCATGAGGACTTTCACTGCAGAAGAAAAATGCACAGAAGGTTAGTTTATGGCTGCCATCTTTGTCGTAACCACAATAATTAAAATGGTATGTGGCACCTTTTCACCTAACAGTATTTTATCTTTATTTAATTCAGTTTTGAAAAGCACTGTTGGAATAAAGCTGTGTATTATCATGTACTTCAAACTAAATATGCTGATAGTTGACTGACTGATCATTTTTCTCTTTGATTTTATTTCTGAATGGGAAAAGAAGCTCCTTCGTGACACTGGAGGATAGAGATGAAGTGCTTCAGACAGCCAGAACATACCCTTTTGTGATATCCTGAAATAAGTGAGGTAGATGGTGAAAAATATTATCTATAGTAGCAATAGTGATCACCTGAATTTCCCTTAGTCTAACCCAAATCATCGGTCCACATATCTCATATGGTCTATTCTTTATGCCTAATAATTTTAAATTTAAATTTAAATCTGTGGCGTATGAGCTCTGTTGGTAAATTTTAACTTCTCTAACATTTTGCTGATATAACAAACATGTTTCAAATATGAAATGTTGGAGGCAAGAATCTTCAATTCAGTATTGCTTTATTCAGAAAAAAAAATACTTGTTAAGGTTGTGATAATCCTATGGAGGACTCAGCTATTTCAGGAAGTGCTCTCCCATCCCCTCCTGCTGAATTCCTTTTCCCTCAGACATGAAAAAAGATCTCTGTAGTTAATGGAAGGTGGTAGAGAGAAAAAGTCAAATGCAGAAGTCCCACGGCAAAATGCCACTTGAAGTTGGAGATTCCACGTTCCTTCTGTTATAATACAAAGGGTTTTTCTAAAATGTATGATATTGTTAGGTTTTGTTACAACATGAAATAACTCTATTAATTAAAAAAGGGACATATATCTGTCTTGCAAGGATTTTGCTATATGGTAAATATATATTTCTTTCTGTAATATCAATGTAAGTCCAAGGGCTCACAAATAATTTGCTATGGAAAGGCAAGTAAATGCTTCAACTATGTTGCCTCACATATCAATCTCTCTTCCCAAAATCATAACAATAATAAAAATGTCTGTTTTCAAACACCCTGGTATGTATGTATGTGTATATGTGTGTGTGTTTGCTTATATTTTGCATTGCTTAACTGCCCATCTCTCTCAGAATAGCTTTCGTCTTCTATTTTTCAGCTGACTATTTAAAAAAAAAGTTCTAAAATCACATGTGAATATACAGTGTGCCTGGTACAAATTTGAAAAAGAGAGGTTGAAAGGATATTAAAAGTGTAATAGATGACATTGGTTTGATTCAAGACTCTGAGGCAGAAAACCAAATCAGAACCAAAGACTGTTATTTTCCAAACTGTGGTGGTGGATTAGATATTATCAGGGTCAAAGCTCTGGAGATCAGTGTTTCTGATTCAACTGAGCAGACAAAGACAGATGTACTCAATCTTTTTCAGTACATAAAGGAAGGGGCTGCTTTCTCTTATCTTAGTATTAAGTGGGGTGGGTGGGGAGAAAGCTTGTTAATTGATCATAAGTTAACAAAGACCAGCCCTTTTCCATTGTGCAAAGTCCTGTTTTTCTTGTGATTGACTCACATGCAAGCATGAGACTTTCTTGTTTAGGCAATTATGAAGATGGGGAGGCTTAGGCATTCCTCCCACATTTCATTTCAACTTCCTTCTCTTTGTGAAGGAGCTCATTTGTGTTGTTCTAGTAAGAAATAGGGGCAGAAGCATATACTATGGTGAATGTTTGTATCTGCAGAGGAAAAGAAAGACAGGACTCTGATATGGGAATGTTTCTGTCTGTCGGCACGATTCCTACTGTGGAACAGATCAGCTTTATATTTTCCAAGGATAAACAGAAAGAAGAATGTGACAACAACTGATATTTTTAAAAATCTCAATAAATAGGAGATATAAATTCATGATCTAGTATCAAAATACATTTTTATCCTTTGTGCAAATGTTAAAGTTGTTAAGGTCAGTCAATTCCAAGAAGACTTTGTGTGGTCTAGAATAAGTCCAATGCATACATTAAAAACACATTAAAAACCACATAATTGCCCAGACCAATTCCTCCCTTCATTTTTTAAAAAAGCTAAATGGATATAATATCTTAAAGCTCCCCAAATCTTATGACCAATATATCCTTTAATCTTGCTAAAATCAAGCTTATTTTCTCTGTTTAAAAGGTTTAAAAGGCAAGGCTGCTTAGAGTTGATTGATTGGAGTGGCCTTTTAAGTATTATAACAATAATAAGAAAAGAATGAGATTTTGCAGTATTTCAGGCATCCATTTTGCCTCTTTGCTGAGGAAATCAAAAATATCGGTCTCCATACTCTATTCTGGGAGACATCATGTACCTTGGGAGTAAAAGAAAAACCAAAAGAGCTCATCCTTCATACCATCATTATAAACTGATTTTTTTCAATTAACAACTTATAGTAACATACTTCCTACTGTACTGTTACACATTTTTGTTAGCTCTTTTTAATAAAAGTGTATTTATTAGCATTTGCACACAAATTTAATGAAGTTTACTTGAAATTACTCAATAGAAACTCACAAAATTTTAGTTTCCCTCAAGTTCTAAACTGAATTGTTAAATTATGTATTAAATTATGTTTCTATATTTTCCAAGGCAGAATATAATATATAAAATTAATGACTGATTAGTTTTCTATATTATATTTAGCATAAAATTTCATAATTAATTTTAAATAAAGTATATAATTAAAATGTAATTACTTGCAGTGGAGAAAAAAATTACCTCAAGTTGACATTTTACTGAGAAATGGTCCCTTTCTCTAAAAATATATTTACTTTCTTACATGATTTATATGCTGATATGGAAGAATAACAAACAGAAATTACAAGTGGAAAAATATGGGGTTTTTTGTTTAAAGCAAATTTGTTTAGCTATTACCAGATTCCTGCTGCAAGACTATGCTATCCAAGCAGTGTTATAATTATGAGGCATCACAGATGGTGACCAGTTACTAAAGTTGATAATTCTCCAAATTCAATTACTTTGTACAGAAGAAATATCCTTAATTTCTTAATCTTTGAAGAAAGAGTTGTAGAATGTAGAATGTGTTCATATGTTTAAGCTTCCTTCTAGGAATATACCCTGTTTCTCCAACAATACGGCCTCCCCAATAGGAAGTCCCAGCATGTTTTATAGGCATGAAATGAAATTAAGCCCCTCCCCCCAAATTAAGGCCTATATTAAAACATGCAAAATGGGGGGGAATGGTGGTGGGGGGCTTGCTGTTAGGAAGTACTTTTGTTGCGCACCCGGATATGGTGCTGCCTGCGTTGACCCCGATACGAAGTGCCCCACCAACGCCAAGGTCAACATCCAAGCCATCGCCACCCGCCTGCCCAAAGATGCAAGGGGGGAGGGAATTAAGTCACCCCCGAAAAGACAGCCTAGCCATTTTTGGGGGGCTCAAAAAAAAATAAGACCCGGCCTTATTATATGAGAAACACGGTAGTAGTCTTTCTTCTCATCTTAAAGTTGTGTTGGGTAACTGCACACTTGTATCCATGGACATTACAACTTCCACAGAGACTAAACCCACCATTTTCACAAGATTTTCAGAATCAAAACATTACAATTTGTTCCATAAATTTTGAGTAAGTGCATAAAGTTGCCATGTTTATGGATATATGTGGTACCTGGGGAAAAATTGTGATATTATTACCACCCTCCAAGTGAAAGAAACTAATGCTATATAATCTAAAATGCAGGAAAAAGAAAAATGCAGTATGAAAAGACCCTTCATAATCAGAGTTAAAATACTGCTTGTGAACTGGCTTCATTTAGCTGTCTATCTTCATTAACTACTTTTTGTGTATCTAGCTTAAGAAAGTTTTGATAAAGAATTTGCTCAAACTTTGCATTTTTCACTTAGGGATCGCATATATATTTGTTTTTAATCTTCAGTTAAAATTGGTTGATTTAACACATTATGAATTCAGCAAACTAAAGGCATCTCTAGAAATACTCCTTGCTGCTCTTTCTGAACTTTCCCTCGCCAATAATAGAAAGGATTAGACACCAAACCTCAGGTTCTACACTATTTCTTAATCTTCTTACCATATGGGAAAAAATAAACATAGAAAATTAGAAGATCTCTCTTGCTTCAAGAGCGTATTAAACCTGATAGTGTCAGCTGGATGCTTTGGTCTACTTAACAATTCAGCATATATTGTAGAGGCAAAAGAATTAGAGCCCAAAAATGGTAACCCGCTGTGAGTGCTAATCACTGCAAGGTTTAGGGAAGACTAAAGAAATTCAGAATCCACAAATGCATCAGCAGCAAAATAATTGTAGGTGGCCTGGGAGAAAGAGAATACATGTTTCATCAGCAAGCAGGGGAGAAGTGAAAAGTTTGTTTTAGCTCCTTGAAATAATTCCTCATGCATTTGGCAGCCATTAAGACTCACTGCAAGAAGATGGTTCTTGTTTAACATTAACTTCATGGTCCCAAGAAGCAAAATGCTTCTCAAGAACTCCTTGATCTACTGTTGCAAAAGAGTTATTCAGAGAAGATCCCACAATGATTTGGACTTGTGATTTATCCAGTTCTGAGATATTAAGATTCAGTGCCTCATTTCTCTCTCATAGCTATTACCTTTTTTTGTGGGGAGCAAACATATTGCATCCAAGATCTTACAAATGCAAATTAAGCAGAACATAAACCATGGAGAATAATGGAAATTAAATTGCTTTTGAAACTACCATTTAGAGAGACTCAGCTTGCAAAAAACACACAAAAATATTAAATATTTTATATTGGCCTCCAATTATTTTTTCCAAAAATGTATTTTATTTTCTTAATATAGTATATACAGGTAAATATCAAGCCAGAAAGAACATTACAACTAAGCAAATTTATTTACATAACATTTAGAATGTCTTGGCAAACCTCTTTGGAAGATTTAATTCTATTCCAGTGCAATGAGAAGGGTCTTCAACTGTCCATACTTATAATCTATTTACCCAAAAGAAATTTTTGAGCCAATTGTTCACAGTAGGTGTTTCTGTTTCTTTTACCGTTTATCATAATTTAGAACATTTGTTAAAACTTGAACAGCTGAAGCAGTAGAAACCCATTTTCCAGACCTTGTTTCCCTGTTGAGGATGCACGATATCCTACAGGCTCCAAATAAAGACATTACCGGAAGCTCATTTTTATAGCTCTGTGGCCATTTTATAATCAACATAGGGACATTAATCTTTAAACAAAGGGAAAGGCAATAGAAATAAAGAAAATTAAGATTGGCAGCTAAAAGAGTGGCTCCAGCTTGGTGGAATGGGTTTCTTTTGTGGAAAATGTGAAAATAATTTTTTTTTGCAGTCTTGGGATGGTACTTCAGCAGAAGAAAAATGAAACCAACCTAATTGATTGCCCAAAGGTGCAACTGAACCAGTTGGGGGAGAGGATCATTTTAAACGGTCTTCCTTTCAATGAGTGGTGTATACAATTCCCTTCCTGTTTATAACTGCAATATCTCCCTCCGCATCACCAACCCTGGTGAAAAAGGTTACTCTAGCTGAATTGTTTGCAAATGTTGGCTTCAGAACAAAGGCATAAACAGGCCTCTTCTGTGTGGTAGTAGAAAGAAAATACGCTTTTCTTCCTTGTAAATGCTGCTTTGATATTAAACCATTTTTGAGCTTTCTTGGCTCACCTGCTATCAACTTTGCTTCCGAAGGAAAGCTGCACAAGACATGCTGAGCAAAGTGATGGATGTCAATGATGGATTCAGGCAGTGTGCCGGTACAATATTTTCACAATCTGGCTATGGTAATGACCATAATATCATTAGACAGTTTCATGAACAAGTCTGACTGGATTACTTTTCTACAATATAATAATGTGTAATCATGCCAGATACCTTCTGCCGAATCCAAGAGGTCTATATTTTTAGTGTGGGAAATCTGGTTGTATTTATTCAACTCCAGCCATTTTGTCTTTACACAATACAGATAACAAAAACAGGATAAATCCTGGAATCAGCACTTTGAAGAAGCACACTGCTCCCTTCACTTCTTTCCCTTTACATCCTACCGTACCAGTAATCCTCAGTGCTTCCACCCCTGGTGTATACAGATCCCTCCAGCTCTCTTGGTCCTGGGAAGACATTCTCATGTTGTATGATTATAGTTTTGATGAGCTCATTAACATGAGCTTGGCAGGAGACCTGATCATGGCCTTCAGGCACTGACATCAGTGTGGGACCAAAGCAGATGGCTAAATTATAGGGGTCCATCATGTTCTCTTCACTGAACTGAGATAAACTGTAGGAAAAAACAGAAAACAGAGTGGCAATAGAGAACAGTATCCCAAACTCCCCAGATATTTTCTATAATCGAAATCTGATCTAAAGTAGCAAGAGTGTCTTGAGACTATACTTAACTAAAGTTACGCTTAAAATCGACTACACACAGAAGATAAGAGGGAGCTTTTCTGCATTTGATACCTTATAACAAATTTAATTTTCTTTGTAAGGATGATGTTTCGCTAGCAGAAGATGTTCAGAACATTTTACTACTGTATAGCACATGGATTTCTTTAATTAATAGTGGGAACAATTTTCATTTTATGTTCAATTAACACAGAGAACATTTGTTAAAAGTGTATGCGTGCATCTAGCTTCATTTTAGTGCAGACTACACATTATTGCCAGCATTTTTTTGGCATTTGTTCCATGCCCCCTGCTTAGAGAACAGCTGCATCAGCCACACCTCATAAACAGCCAAGAAGCAGATGAAAGTGTGACTATGATGCTGCATGGTTCACAGCACAACGCTATAAGGATTCTAACACACCCCTTTGATTCCTCCCCATTTGCATCCATTCTTCACAGCCAAAATATCTTTCTTTTTCAAAGAGAACACTAAAAGCTTCATACCAATGCTCAACATGGAATATCAATCATATGCATTTGAAGCATTGGTCAGTGTGACACATTAAACATTTTTTGAAGGTAACAAAAAGGCTCAGAAGAACAGCTTTGCTTTAAAGGTTGGGAAAGCTTACCCCTACATCCTCCATACTCCACTACTGTCATTTATAAAATAGTGTTTTACACTGCCCAGAACACAGTTCATTTGCTGATGTTTTACCTTTCAAACTCCAAAGAATAAAGGGAGATGCACTCTTACCCCACTCTTAGACAGTAATCTTTGAGTCACTCGAAAGCATTTCAATAACCTTTCAATAAGAACTGGGTTTGACAGCCTGAAATCAGGACTTAGCCGAGAAAAACATGTTCAGTGTAAAAAGTAATTTTACTTGAATAATTTGTCATATTTTAACTGTAACTCTCCCTACAAAGCATGCAGAGGAAGCATGCCAGAAATCCAGTACATTACTATTTATTTATCGTTAAGAATAAAATAAATTTGGCTAGCTAACAAAATTCAGTATCTAGCACTTGACCTTCAGCTTCTCCCATGCATATGTAACATTGGATAACATTCAAGTCTACTTCACTCCATGTTCTTTAATTAGAATATCTGTAGAATATTTTAAAGGCAGAATGAAGTAGTTCTTTCGGAAGAACAAAATGATTCTGCCTTCTGAAATTGAGAGGATGGACTCGGACTCAGGTCTTTTTCATGGTGACCTAGGGAATATACTGTCCCAATAATTGTAGCCCCCCCGCCACATTTCTATCTTTTGATAAAATTACAAAGATATAGATTTTTAGTGCAGCATTTGAAGTCTAAGAGCTTGCTACATGACTCATTAACTCTATCTTTATTTTAATCTTGTGGGTTAGTTTCATCTCTGGAGCAGGGTAAACATTAAGATTTAATAAACAATATAAACATTAGAGGATATATCTAAAAGAGAAATCCCTTAGCTGTACCCCTGGATTATATACCAGCAGCCACCTCTCATGTGTTTAAGAAAATATCTTTCCCAGCAGTCCGCTTAGCGGTATTTATTTGCTTAAAGGTGAAACATCCTTTAAATTGAGATCACCTCCTGATGATTTTATAAATATATCCAAATATATTCAAGAAATATGTCTATCTATTTTGAAGGTATTTGGTACTTTCTAATCTGTTATTTCCTAATGGCCTCCCATTCAAGGAATCCTATTTGTTTGTTTCTCCAAAACTAATCAAGATCAGTTAGATGCTGTCTTCTATCTAGGCACTGATTTATTTTCTTACACAAATTATTTCAGTAAAAGCATCTAACTTAGCTGTCTAGAAATATATAAATTCTCCAATGACAGCCCTAAAATGAATAAATAACTTATTAAAGTATTAAATTAAAAATATTAAAAACATATTTTTTTATTTTCTCCCCTCTGCCCTTTTCAGCATGAATTACATGCTCCTAAACCCATGCCATAACATGTACTGTCAATATCAACACCCCCAAAATTTGTACCAGGGCGCAAATGATAGGAAAGATAGTGACAGTATGAAAATGGCCTATTTGGAGAAAGAGTACAGAAATTCCTTTTATGAAAACTTTTATAGAAATCATTTTAGTATATATGGTAGAGTGAGGAAGGTGCTCATCATATTTTAAGCACAAATTCCAATATTGTACCTCATTTAAATACTCATAAAAAGACAGAATAAATGCATAGAGGCATCTCCGTATAGGTGAGATACATGAAACCAACCATACAATATTCCAAATACAAAATACAGTCTACAAACAGCAGAATTGTACACATTCCCCATATATCTGGCAGAAAACTGGTTAATGGATACATACATTAGAATGTCAGCCTGCCCTTTTCTCTAAAAATAAGACTCTTAGCTGTAAATGCAGAGCTGAAATCACATGCATCTAGCTAGTGAAATCTCAGGAATTAAAAGGGTAACATCTTAAAGCAAGTCAAACATGGATGTGTATTTGTAATGTCTGCAAAATTATTTTTTCCTGATCCTAGTACTAGAAGGAAAATACTTGCTATAAGATGACCTTTCTAACAAAGCAGGATATAAAATTCTGATGCAACTTCTGAGAATGGTTTAACACACCACAACAGTGAAATGGCCATTACGCTTTTCTATATATTACATTTTCTAATATTCATATTGTTCAGTTCCTGAGGCCAATTAAATGGGAAATTTTGGAATTCAACAAAACAATTCTAAGGGACCATATTTATGATAGTTAACTTTTCAGATTATCTTGCAGCCCTATAAAAGAGGATTTTAATGCACCTTAAGTACTGGTAGAAAGGATTTTAGGTGAAACTTATTAAAAAATCCTTAATTCAAAGAAGAAGAAAAAATGATAATAAAACCATCAGCAGGAAGTTGAGCGAATTCTTTCACAATGAAGATCTTCAAGCTGAGGAAGAACAACTTTTGGTTGGAGGTGCTTTAGCTATGAACTTCATGCAAGAAATAGGTGTGAGATTAGACACCCCCCCTCAATTGTCTTTCAACTTTAAGGTTCTAATATTTTCCTCCAAAATATCTATGTAACAGCTACAATAGACAATTACTTGAACACTTACTGGCTGAGGAATGCGAAGAGGTATCTCATTACAATCAATGTGGTTTTAGGCAATGTCAGCAGGACTTTTCGGATGTGCAGAGCTCTCTCTTGCAGGTTGTCCATTGCTAAAGAAAAAGAGAACAACTACATGGACATTTGTTCAGACCATATGATAAAACTGAATAACTTAGTCACACTTTAGTTTACTACTCTAAGTTCTGGTTGACATATTCAGAGGTATGAGAATAATCTGATTTTTAAATGTTTTTATGTTTGAACGTGTGTAAATATTATTTTATCACACGCTGAGGCATTGAGAATTCACAGCATAGCAGAAGTGTTATAGATACAGATGGGATGGTGGTTTTTTGTTTTTTTTTGCATCTTAGCAATGTGATTATGAAGGTTAAGAAAAGAGATTTGCCCTAGATCAGGGGTCCCCAACCACCGGGCCGCGGACCGGTACTGGTCCGTGGATCACTTTGCACCGGGCCGCAAAGAAAATAAAAATAAAATAAAAATGGCGGCTTTCTTCACCTTCGGTGAATGCTGCTGGGATCAGGGATCAAGGACACAAATGAAAGAAGGGGAGGGAGGAAGCAACCAAAGCCTGTCCTACTCTCTGGCTCAGTGGCTTCCGTTTCCTCCCGCCTCGTTCCTCTCTCAGTCGCTCTCTCGCTCCTCCACCAGCCCAGGAAGAAACTGCTTCAAAGAAGCCTGCAGGGTGGCTTTTCCTGTCGGCGCAGCTCCCCTGAAGCGCCCGTTCACCCCCACCCCGCCGCCAATCAATCCAGGTTCAATCCAGTGCTCCGTTCTGCCTGCCTGCCTGCCTGCCTTCGTTTGTTTCGGAGCAGCTTCGGCTGAGAATAATAACTATTCGCCTCTTTTACTCAGCCGAAGCTGCTCCGAAACAAATGAAGGCAGGCAGGCAGGCAGAACGGAGCACTGGATTGAACTGCGGGCGGCGGGGCGGGGGTGAACGGGCGCTTCGGAGGAGCTACGCTCCAAAACCACCAGAAACAAAGGCAGGCAGGCAGAACGGAGCACTGGATTGAACCGTGGGCGGCGGGGTGGGGGTGAACGGGCGCTTCGGAAGAGCTGCGCCAACAGGAAAAGCCACCCTGCAGGCTTCTTTGAAGCAGTTTCTTCCTGGGCTGGTGGAGGAGCGAGAGAGTGACTGAGAGAGGAACGAGGCAGACACCTGAGGGACGGGGCTGAGGAAGGCAGGGCCGAGAGGCGGGGCTTCTCAGCCGTCCTGCAGGGACTATCTGTCGCTCAGGGTTGCAATGAGGAGGCATTGGCGCTCCCTGAACTTGGTGATTTGCTGGCAGACGTTTTATTACCCAACTAGGTAACAACATCAGATGTTACCTAGTCAGATAATGAAACGTCTGCAAGCAAACCACCAAACTCGGACTCCCCCCCCCCTCGGTCCTTGAAAAAGTGTTTCTGCGTGAAACTGGTCCCTGGCACAAAAAAGGTTGGGGACCACTGCCCTAGATAATCCATTTCATTCAGGATCCTCTGTAGCTGCCAGGCCACCACCTTTTCTACAACCCTCCCTAAGAATGGAAGGTTGGAAACTGGATGAAAATTGTCCAGGCAGGTGGTATCCAACTATGTTTTCTTTTAAGGAAGGAGTAAACCAGGGCTTGCTTAAAAGCATCCTGAAATGTTCCCTCCTCTAGTGATGCATTGATCATTGCCTGGACCCATCCGCTAGTCACTATCCTGGAAGCTTTCACTATCCAGGAGGAACAAGGATCTAACTGACAGCATAAAGGGCCCTGTCCAGTTCATCAGGGCCAATTGGATCAAACTGTTTCCAGATAACAAAGCAAGACCTCTCCCCGGGAATCTCACACAGACTATCTCCACGTATGGGGTCCAATGAATGCGAGCAACTTTGTCCATCAGGTGCTGAACTCTGCCTGGCCAGATCCTGACTTTAAAGGGAATTCAACAAGTTTAACTGGTGCAGGGCAGAATGTGGTTGCCCCAATGATATTGTTGAGGTTGAATGCTACACAATGCCAACTGCACCAAGCCTACTTTAATGTGGTGATTTAAATTTTAAAACTAATATTTGGAACATGATGTAATCCCTGCCTCCTTATCAGCCTGTCTGTTCTTTAAGGAGATCAACAGAAAATTCCTGTTACATGTCTGCTTGCTGAAAGCAATAAGAATTGTAGGTACAAGGAAAGAACTTCTGCAATGGCTCCTACATCTCAAGAATGCATTGCCAGGAATGTCTGACATAGGCTTTTTGAAAAACATCAAAGAACCATTTGTTTTTGGTGGCTTTTCTTGAATTTTTATTGGATTGCCCAATGCATTATATGATTTCTGATGGTATTTGGGGAGTGGGGATTTTTTTTTTTACTCAACACCATTATTTTCATTACTATTTAACTTTGAAGTGTCTTTTATTTATTTTGGAGAGTTCTTTGCTTCTGCTCTTACCCTTAATGGTAGTCTATAAGTATTTTTCAAAAAGAAAAATAAATATAAAATGCAGAATATGGTTGAACGATATCATCTGTATGTAACCCCTCCTTCATTCCTTCCCTTATGGGCACCTGCCCTCCTCCACCAGGCTTCACATCCAAGCAGAATGCTTATTTATTTTTACATTTGTTCATTATTAATTTTAGGGAACAAGCTGCAATGCCTCATTTCCAAAAATGTTTTGGAACTCTGTATATGCTGTAGAAGCAGGTTTTTGGGAGAAGTTGATTAGGATTGACAGCCTACTGCTTTCTATGGAAATATGTCAACCAGAACAGGGGAACGGGAAAGATAAAAATAAAAATGAATCACCAGTCTCAATTTGCTATTAATGAAGCAATGCAATCACTTTTTAAATTCTTACCATCTAGAATGTTAAAGTTGCTTAAAATATGGAATGCTACGTAATTTAAAACCAGAGAACTCTCTTCAATATCACCCCCAATTCAAATCAAAGCTAACAGGCTTTCTTGAAAATTTGCTTGGTCCTCTTTAAAGTACTACAATGAGATAAGAGAATAATCTTGAGGAACAGGAAGAGCCGCAATCCAGAAAAAAGTCAGAAATCTGAATCCAAAACAGGAATGTAATTTGAGGAAGTCTCTCAAACTCAACCCTCCCCAAACCTTCTCCTTATTCAGTAACCACAATTCATTTGTTAAATCAAAAAAATTGTTGCGAAGCAAATACATATGAGAGAGAGAGAGAGAGAGGGAGGGGGGGAGGGAGATATGCTGCCAAAAACAGTGGCTGTTGCCGTTTTGTTCAGGTAAAGTTCTCATAAAAGCTACATCAGCATTGGTCTCCCTCTGGCATGCCGTTGTGAGGGGCACACATTTGGATGTTAAGTGCATGTGTTGGTCAGAAAAGGATTTTTTTAAAAAAAATACTGTGTTTGCAAATGGTCACTAAAGGAAGCCACTAAACAGTGAGTATAGTTCTCTTGAAAATAAAGGCAGAAAGAGGAAAGGCACTTTCAAACTTGCAAGATTCTGATACAATAATCTTATAATAAAAGTAGTATTATAAATTTGAACTCCTGGTCTGGACAGTTGCTATTTTCTCTTCAATCAATTCCATCAATTAATTTAAAGCCAACTATAAAAAATAGTCAAAGCTAGTAATACATAATTTCACACAATCTTACACTACACTATCAGTCTGTTTCTAGACTGAGTTTAAAGGATTATAATCAAATTGGTAGATATTAACATCTTTGGATTAGTGTCCATTTTAGCAGAAAGTTTTGACAATCTGAAATAATTACACAATAATCTTTAGTAATTAATACGAGTATGGCTTTTATGACCTTTTAAATAATTTTTCTTAGGATATACAAAATAAAGCAACACAAGAAATTAATGAAATATTTTGTATTGGTTGGCAAGTTACTTATAACAATGCATTTGAAAACTGAAGTGCATATTTCTACGGTTCGCTTATATTTTTAAAGAATCGAATAAAAATCAGTATAGCAGCAAAAACATTAAAGAATTCCCAAAAATTGGTTTCCAATCTTTTTGTGAAATCAAAAGAATATTCTTAATAAATCACCTTCATCTATACAGATGAATATGGATATGGAAAAATATCCAAATCCACAACTTCATTAGAATTACAGTTAAAAATATAATGTCTTAATATTATTCCCATCTGGGACAAATCACATATCTATGTTTTATGCTTCTGCTTTTATGCATTATAATCACCCTCACTGCTTCATTGGTTTTATTTTTTTTATTTTAAAAAAAGCCATACTGAGATAGGAGGAAGCATTCTTGAATGCAAAGGGTAGTGGCAGAGAGCACCCTCATAATTTTGCTTTTGGTAATTGGACATTTTTCTATCCAAATTTCAGAATGGAACTACTGAGAATTATAGTTTTAGAATGCTTCATTTATGTGAAGATGTATGAAACATATAATTATATTCTGGGTTAACAGAACAGGACATGAAAATCTGAAGCTGGTCAAGTGTGGAAGTACTGAATACTATCCATTGTCGCAATTACATCAGATAGTCTATTACACTTAGTTTCTTAAGGTGGGTGTTTCAAAAGAAATCTTTAGCTTAATATTCCACAGGCAGATTAGCATTCCTGAATGATGAGACAAAGAGCTATGTCTACAGCAATATAATGGGAAAAAAGTGGGCAGCACAAAGCCTTGGCTTTGGAAGTTCAGAATTATTTGGCAACAAGCTACTCTTTTCATCTAACAGAGTTGAACTGTGTAGACTCATTTATTGTGAAAATGAAACTGCAGATCTTTTTAAGAGGAGCTCTCCTATATCTTACTTCAAAGGCTTTTTCCATCATGGTCCTTCTTATGCTCTGACAATGAATTCACTGTTTGCTACAGAAGTGAGTCAGCACCAAGATGTTCACTGTAAACCTATCAGTCCCAGGGAAAGTATTAATACCCTTGAAATGATGAGGTATAAATTACCAGCTTAATTTGTTTCCTATATGCTGCAGAAAAATACTGTGAGGATTGTCTAATATCTTTAAGGAAGATGCTGACCAGCAGACAGCAGTTAGCTGTCTTTCTGTTTCTCAAATAAATAATTAAGTAAATGATGAAATCATATTGATCCTACACTGCCTTCAAATGATAAAGACAAAAAAAGGACAAAACAATTCCTTAAAGGGCTCCCTTCAAAGTAAAAATGTTCTTCATTGGATTATTTTTAGTTTACAAATTTACCTAGCCAGTCACTTTTCTTTAGCATAATCAAATGAAATGACATTGGGAAGGATAAGCTAATAATATGGCGGGATGGATGGGGGAGTCAAGAAGGACTGGATCAAACCACCAAACAGGCAAATGTTTCAATATTTTTTTAGAAGCCTTTGTTTAAAAAGAGAGACCGATCTTTATGTCTTAAAATCTATATCCTTAATCTTATTCTTGTCTTACAAGCTATGATTATCACATTAGAGTCTACTGGGGCAGCACACAGTATCACCCTTTTAATCAGTTTATCAAAATGGAAGCCCCAGATTAACAGCAATGTGTGGTGGGATTCAGATGAACATTAAGAGAAATACAAATTGTTCCACTAGCTTACGACCTAGTGAGAGGCAAACAATGATATTTTATTCTGATTTTGTATATTTACTATCTCAGAAGCAAACTGACATGTTTCAGATCTCTTAGTCTCCTGTGAGATACTGTCAGGATTAAGGAATATTCTGAGAAGCTAGTGGTACAGTTTCTAAAAGATAGTGTTAAATCACAGAAACACAGGATTGAAGAAAAGATACTCAGCAGAGATAAATAGGATGGTAATACATCACAGAGTAGAGATTAGATATAATCACTATTTCATGAGAAAATGAGCAGGGGAAGAAAATAATTTCTACTTCAAATATTCAAAGATCTTCATTTGTTTGAATCTATTTATAGGTCAGTATTAATACACACAGACACACATATAAATTATTTCATTTCCTTGCAATATTGCTAACTGGCTTGTTATTTTTGTGCTACTTACTGACACAGGCAATCAGATCATGAAAAATTTCCTTGGGGAAGAGGGGATGTTCTAGACCACGGAAATAGAGCTTTAGGACACCTGCTATTGAATCCATATCATGGTCATTTTGGTCTCCAGCCAGTGGATCTTCCCCTGGTTACCACAAAACAAAGACAACAACAACACAGAATAAATAGGATATTTGCACATTTTAAAAACAAACTGCAAAATATGGGAGGAAGGAAAATTAAATAAGTTTTTGTTTTGAAAATGAAAACAGACATTTGGCTCAAAAATAAATATAGTTAAAAAATTAATACCCATTCTTAAAAGTGGCATCCAGCATAAGGCTAACACTATTGTAGCACTATTATTATCCTTATTTTCTCTACTATCCGCTCTTATTGGTATCATTATTATGATTATTTACACTGAGAGCTTCTGCACTGTAGAAAAATTCCTTGTATGTCTAATCACACTTCACCAAAAACGCTTCTCTACTCTACTCTACTCTACTCTACTCTACTCTACTCTACTCTACGCAACATGGTTCAAGCTAGTAGATGTTATGGAGTGACAACCCAGGCAATTCACACTCTAAGGGAATACATAGTAATGGAAAGGCTGATTTGGGGCAAAGGGGTTTAAAATGGAACAAGTTCTATTTTGAGATGTTCTGGTTTCAGAATGTTTGCAAAAATGTCAAATGAACAATGCCAATAATCAGTCATTCCTAAAAAGCATAATTAATTAGAGAACTTTCCTCAATATTCTAATCCGCAGCCTTTTGATGGAACAAGAAATCTTAATAGAATTTACTGTTTTAGTACTGCATGTGCTTTGACAAGACCATGAGAAATGGATGTAGAAAAGTTAGTGTTTTATACTGCACTGTCATCAAAGAAAGGTGATCTGGAATCCTTTCACTGAAAGATCAGATAGAAGAAGAATTGCTTCCATGACTGCATTGTCGGTTAATATAGGATAGATCTTCCATTTTATAGGTAAACTATTTACTTTTCTTTTAGTTAAATACACTGCTCAAAAAAATAAAGGGAACACTTAAACAACACAATGTAACTCCAAGTCAATCACACTTCTGTGAAATCAAACTGTCCACTTAGGTAGCAACACTGATTGACAATCAATTTCACATGCTGTTGTGCAAATGGAATAGACAACAGGTGGAAAGCATAGGCAGTTAGCAAGACATCCCCAATAAAGGAGTGGTTCTGCAGGTGGTGACCACAGACCACTTCTCAGTTCCTATGCTTTCTGGCTGATAGTTTGGTCACTTTTGAATGCTGGCGGTGCTTTCACTCTAGTGGTAGCATGAGACAGAGTCTACAACCCACACAAGTGGCTCAGGTAGTGTAGCTTATCCAGGATGGCACATCAATGCAAATTGTGGCAAGAAGGTTTGCTGTGTCTGTCAGCGTAGTGTCCAGAGCATGGAGGCGCTACCAGGAGATAGGCCAGTACATCAGGAGACGTGGAGGAGGCCGTAGGAGGGCAACAACCCAGCATCAGGACCGCTACCTCCGCCTTTGTGCAAGGAGGGACAGGAGGAGCACTGCCAAAGCCCTGCAAAATGACCTCCGGCGGGCCACAAATGTGCATGTGGCTGCTCAAACTGTCAGAAACAAACTCCATGAGGGTGGTATGAGGGCCCAACGTCCACAGGTGGGGGTTGTGCTTACAGCCCAACACCGTGCAGGACGTTTGGCATTTGCCAGAGAATACCAAGATTGGCAAATTCGCCACTGGCGCCCTGTGCTCTTCACAGATGAAAGCAGGTTCACACTGAGCACATGTGGCAGAAGTGACAGGGTCTGGAGACACCATGGAGAATGTTCTGCTGCCTGCAACATCCTCCAGCATGACCGGTTTGGCAGTGGGTCATTAATGGTGTGGGGTGGCATTTCTTTAGGGGGCCGCACAGCCCTCCATGTGCTCGCCAGAGGTAGCCTGACTGCCATTAGGTACCGAGATGAGATCCTCAGACCCCTTGTGAGACCATATGCTGGTGCGGTTGGCCCTGGGTTCCTCCTAATGCAAGACAATGCTAGACCTCATGTGGCTGGAGTGTGTCAGCAGTTCCTGCAAGACGAAGGCATTGATGCTATGGACTGGCCCGCCCGTTCCCCAGACCTGAATCCAATTGAGCACATCTGGGTCATCATGTCTCGCTCCATCCACCAATGCCATGTTGCACCACAGACTGTTCAGGAGTTGGGGGATGCTTTAGTCCAGGTGTGGGAGGAGATCCCTCAGGAGACCATCCGCCACCACATCAGGAGCATGCCCAGGCGTTGTAGGGAGGTCATACAGGCACGTGGAGCCCACACACACTACTGAGCCTCATTTTGACTTGTTTTAAGGACATTACATCAAAGTTGGATCAGCCTGTAGTGTTTTTTTCCACTTTAATTTTGAGTGTAACTCCAAATCCAGACCTCCATGGGTTGCTAAATTTGATTCCATTGATAATTTTTGTGTGATTTTGTTGTCAGCACATTCAACTATGTAATGAACAAAGTATTTAATAAGAATATTTCATTCATTCAGATCTAGGATGTCTTATTTTTGTGTTCCCTTTATTTTTTTGAGCAGTGTATAATATTTACATAATAATGCTAAAACAGTTTGATGTGTCTCTAAGAAGCTTGGGAAGCTTGTTGTTGAACTCAATGGTCCTTATCCTTGGCTATGTTTATTGGGGATGTTGAAAGGTGTAAGATTTATACTTTGCATACATTTACCTTCTGTCTCACAGACAAAAATCCCATCTTTCCATGACCATATTTATTAAGGAAAATCTCAAATTCAATTAATTTAAATGATTTATATATCACCCAATTTACAAAACAAGCAGCATACAAATGATTAAAAACAAAATAAGGTAAGCAATATTTATAAAAGAACCACAACATTATGGTGAAAAGCAATACAAACAGACGGCAAAAGCACAGCATATTCAAAATCCTAAACCATTTTTTCAAACAAATAATTCTCCCCTCCTGAAATTACTTGTGTTTAAAAAAAAGGTGCAACCATACACTGAATGGTTTTCTTTTCATTGTAGGAAGGCATTCTTTTCCTTATAGAAAATTTTTAGATTGCATCCAACGACTTTTGTGGGACAAAATATGTGAGGAAACCTATCTCAGATCTGAAGAGTTCTCCCTTCAATCACTTCCACTGAACTTTCCCCTCATTAACTTCCTGCTGTCACTATCCCATTTACTTATGAAAATGTCATAACTTAAAGTAACTTAAAATAATTTATAAGGCCTTTTAGAAATTCCATGCACCTTCAGTCTGAAATGTTTATATAGTGATGTGACAAGAAGCAGAAACCTAAGGGATTTAGATGCCAAAGATTACTGAGCATTGGGAAGTGGGAGAGGCAAGGATATGGAGAATATACTCATTACAGCAGCATGATAAACTTGGAAAAGAAGATCTTGTCCTCATTTGCAACTTCAGTCTTAGCATCTCTTAAATCCTGAAGCACAAAGAAAATGCAGAGGCAATCATAACTGCTCTTACCTCTCTCAAATGCATTTTTTATATCATTCACTTCAACCTGAGATCCAGATACCCTGAATATTCCTTCATGCTGAAGTCCTGGGAAGAAAATAGGAAGAATCCATGAAAACTGAAGGAACTACACAAATGATACCCTTCCACCATTTTTGGTAGAGGAAACGATGACAGTCACCAATTATAGCACTTTTGTACTTTAAATAAATTGAAACAAAATGTCTTCCAGAATAGATTTAGAGAATTGTTACACATCTGTTGTACACAAATATTACATATATGTATATATGCATATTTGTATATATGTATGTTGATATGTGAATGCATATCAACACAATAAATACATACAAATATACTGAATAATTTTTCAATCACTTCCAAACTTGAAACGATTGACATTTTTTACATCAACTAAGCCATTTTGAGTAATAAATCCAGTCCAAAAACATTCTTAGGATCTTATGATTCCTATGCCTGTTTAGACATTGTGGGTCCTCAACATCTGTGGAGGTTCTCCATCATCCAGGTCATGGTTGTCCCAAAAGTGCTTTTTCAAATGGCAACTGGACTTTTGCTTCTTGTCCAAGAAACTTCTTCAGTTCTGACTGAATGATGGAAAGATTTATATTCCTTGCAGCCATCTAGTCATTAGCACTCTTTCTGAAAGTCATTGAGGCCACTAGGAGGTTTATCTGTGCCTCAGGGTCACATGAATTGTGCAAATGGGTGTGGAACATTCTTGGAACTGCTGAAAGGACTCTTTGGTAAACAGGAGATAGACAGAGTCATATTCCTCGCCTTCTGTTGAGAGAAGGCTGGGCTGTTCAACCTTAAATGTAAATGTCCTCTTTGACCCTTCTTTCAAACCAGAACTCTTCTCTGTCCAGAATATGGACGTTGCCGTCTTCAAAAGAGTGACATTTGTCTTTCTAATGCAGGCGGACTGTTGAATCCTATCCTGATGAGTTTGTTCTCCTACGTTGTGCCATACGTTTGTAAAGTGGTTGTTGTGTTTCTCCAGTGTACAGATCCATACATGTCTCACTGCACAGAACTGCATATATGTGGGTCCTCAACATGTCTCTCTGTACACGTGCCTCAGTTTTTAGATCTGTCAGAGATTGTTATGAAGATTTGCACATTACATGTAGACACAAGATAAATAATTTGGTTCTCTGATTGTGGTGACCTCTCTATGTGAAGGCCAAGCCTGTACCAATGTTTATTTGGTTAGAGTGCAATTCATCTAAGGTTTGTGGTTTCTGTGACAGTCCAGCCTCTATATAGCTTTTAATAATAGTTGCTTTTCTTCTTGCTTTTTCTTTTTTTCCATTGACTGAATCCTGTTAGAGATTTATTACTATAAGGTGAGTTTAAAATAAACAATATTTAAATAGAAAACAGACTAAATATTGATGTTCAGTTGTATATGGGATATCAACCAATTTGTAGTGCATAGTATGATTAAATTATTATACTAATTTCAAAATTGCTTGAATTTACTACTCAATCCCTGGTGAGCCTTTCAGGCTAGATTAATCAGGAGACATTTGAAAGTAAATCAGTCAAATCTTCCTTTAAGCAGCATACATACATACATACATACATACATACATACATACATACATACATACATACATATATATACTGTACATGCAATCCAAGAGATTGAGTTACATGGTATATTATTCGGTCTATTATACATGATTTAGATCTACAATCTTTGATTTTTTTTAAATGAAAGAATCCTTTGATATAAAATAGAGAACTTCTATTTATAGAATGAATACTCTGGACCCAGAAATATCTAAGTCTCCCACAAAATATTTTTCATAATAGAAGTTGTACTTCTTCTATGGATATAGTGGTATGCTTGCATTGGCTTAGAAGGAAATTAGAACAAAAACCTCTACAGAAAATACACAGCTTTGATCTGAGGCCATTTATTTTAACATTGGATTATCTCTGATTTTATTATATTTCTCTTTTCTTCCACTGTTTTTCAATTATGTGAAAGGATACCTTATTTCCTGTGAATTAGTATTTGTTCCATGCATCATTTAACTTGTGACAGCCTACAGATTTAAACAAATAGTTCTTTATTATGTAGATAAATGCATACTTCCCACTCTGATTGGAGCAAGTATATACGTGGGTAGTGCCTGATGAAACTTTAAAATTGGAAGGAGTTTCTTATATGTCATTAAGTGACAAAGAACCATTTCTTTCACAGTTAACTTATTACTTCTTGATTATTACAAATTACTTTTGAAATCTTTGAAGCAAAATTTAAGTATGTTGGCAAAACACAACATAACAAAGCATGTTTCTCTGAACAGGACAGGACAGAACAGAAGAGTTGGAACGGACCTTGAAGGTCTTCTTGTCCAACCCCTTGCTTAAGCAGGAAACCCTATACCATTTCAAACAAATGGTTGTCCAATCTCCTTTTAAAAACTTCCAGTGTTGGAGCATTCACAACTTCTGGAAGCAAGTTGTTCCACTGATTAGTTGTTCTAACTGTCAGGAAATTTATCCTTAGTTCTAAGTTGCATCTCTTCTTGATTAGTTTCCATCTATTGCTTCTTGTCCAGTCTTCAGGTGCTTTGGAGAATAGCTTGATACCCTCTTCTTTGTGGCAACCCCTAAGATATTGGAACACTGCTATCATGTCACCCCTAGCCTTATTTTCATTAAACAATTTGAGCAACCGTTCTTCATATGTTTTAGCCTCCAGTTCTCTAATTATATTTGTTGGTCTGCTCTGCAGTCTTTCTAGAATCTCAACATCTTTTTTATATCAGGTGGTGACCAAAACTGGATGTGGTATTCCAAGTGTGGTCTTACCAAGGCATTAAAGAATGGTATTAAAATTTCACATGATCTTGACTCTATCCCTGTTAATGCCACCTAGGACTACATCATATACGTATATATGTTTTCTTAAGTTTTCGCGGGTACTTACATGTATAGTATTCAGCTTTGTTCGGGTATTTTCCCACATCATTATAGTTGTGCTTTTAAAGTTGTAGCAACGTTTCGGCAGAATGTCATCTGCAATCATCAGACTTCTGTATTGTGTTAGTCTGTGAGTCAGACTTTTACAGTTGTTTCAGTTTTAAATTTGGGACTAGCCTACTGCTGTGCCAGAATGGTTTTTTCTTCATCCTGATTGGTTGGGAGTCTTGGTCTGTGTTTATTGGTCTTGGAGTTTGCTGTGTTCTGCTTGATTGGTGTTTCTAATATCTTCTGTCTGTTTTGTGGCTTTTTGTGTGTGTGTGTCTTGATTGGCTGGCAACATTGTGTTCCTGTATTGGAGGCTTTTAGTGCAGCTTGGCTCCGAGTAAATGGACGGCTATCATTTGTTAGGAAGCTAGGTTTCATCTGGGTGCCTGGTTGGGGTGTGTTTGAGCTGGAGGTATCAGGGGGGATCTGTTTGTGCCCAGGTGTTTGCCAGGCTAATGGTGTGGAGATTTTTTTGTTTGTGAGTGCAGGCTTCCAAATAATTGACAGTCTGGTGGAATCATCTCTTCTATTCATGTTTTCAGGTCTTTTTTCAATCTCTATGGCTTCTCTGATAATTCTGTGGCTGGGGTTTTCTATAGTGGCTAGGGTTTTGGTGCCATTGAAGTTGATGCTATGACCTGTGGCTTTCATGTGTTGGACTAGTGAGGAAGTGTGTTCCAGATTTTTTACTGCATTTTTGTGTTCATCCAGGCGGGTACTTATTCTTCTATTGGTCTGTCCAATGTATGTGGCCGGGCATGATGCACACGGGACTTCATATATGCCTTGGTTTTCCAGGTCAATTTTATCTTTGGGGTTTCTAAGGATGGCTGCTATTTTTCTGTCTGTTTTGAAGGCAGTCTTGATGTGATGCCTGTGTAGTATCTTACTGATTTTGTCTGTAGTACCTCTTATGTAGGGCAGGACAGCTGTTCCATAGGTCTGTTCATCTTCTAGGTCTCCATTATGTCTCAGTGTGTTTTTGTGGATCAAGCCGGTGATTTTGCTTTTGTGGAAGCCGTTGGCTGTCAGTACTTCAGTCAGGGTGCATAGTTCAGTCTTTATGTGTATCTTGTCTGCCAGGCGTTTGGTTCTAGCAATTAGTGTTTTGGCCACGGAGTTTATCTGTGCTGGGTGGTGGTGGGATTGGGCGTTCAGGTAGCGGTTGGTGTGTGTGTTTTCTTCTGGTATATGGTGTGTCCTAGTGTGCCATCTGTTTTTTTGTAGATTAGTACATCTAGGAATGGTAGTTGTTTGTTTGTTTCCGTTTCCATGGTGAACTTGATTTTGGGGTGTGTGCTGTTTAGATGTGTTAGGAAATTGTTTAGGTTTTCTTTTCCATGGGGCCAAATCACAAATGTGTCATCGATGTATTTTAACCATAGTTTGGGTTTGTGGATGGCATTAGCCAGGGCTCTGGATTCGAATTCTTCTATGAACAGGTTTGCAATGACGGGTGACAGTGGTGATCCCATTGGGGCTCCTTCAATTTGCTTGTATCTTTGTCCTTTGTATATGAAATATGTGTTGGTTAAGCAGTGTTCTGTTAGTTCCATGAGGTGTTTAGCTGGTTGGTATTTATTTTTGATGATTTCAAGTTTCTTTTATCGGGACTTGAGTGAATAGTGAAACCACGTCGAAACTTACAAGCTTCTTGCTCCACGTGTAGATCTTTGATCATTTCCAAGAAGTGGTATGAGTTTTGTACATGTGAAGCTGCTGTTTCAGCATGGGGCTGTAGCTGTTTTGCTAAGTGTTTAGCTAGGTTTTGTAGTGGTGCTCCTCTGGAGCTGACTATGGGTCTGAGAGGTATGCCTTCTTTGTGTATTTTTGGGAGACCGTATAGTTTGGGGCATATTCGTAGATTTTCATGGGTACAGGTATGCAGATCTTGGCGTGTTCGGGTCTTTTCCCGTGTAAGATTGAGATCTCAATCTTACACGGGAAAAGACCTGAACATGCCAAGACCTGCATATATATATATATCCATCCACTGAAAATTATCTCAACAGTCAAATGCTATCTAATTAGGAGTATTTTTATTGGCCAGTAAAGGCTTAAACTGCATTTTTGAGCTGCATTTGGAAGAGATGTTAAGTCAAAGAAATCTTAAAACTTAACAGAGGAAGTCATGAATAAAAAAGTGACAATACTGCACACTCTCTCTCTTTCAGGCATTTGTTTATAAATACCTTAAACTGTGTCACAATCCTCAACAATAAAGTAAAACCCTGTGATTTTGTTTCCTTTTCACACTTACCATGTCTGCTAATGAAACGTATACAGCTCTCTACCACCAAAGGAATTGCGTGGCTGGAATCCTGGATGATAAAATGTGATAAGAAAGAGAAAGAAAGAAAGAATTTTTGAACATCATATATTTTGAAATAGTCTGCCAAGGGACATCTATTTCCAAATGTAAGATTGCTATACAGTGAGTCTCATGCAAAATATATTATTCAATAAATACACATACTGGGAAGCTGGGAATAGACACATATTTATATATATGGTCAATGGTGTTTAATGACTATAACGGTAACACCCAAAAGAATAGTTTTACAGGAAAAAACTCCGCAATATACTACTAAATAAAATTAAGGCAGAATTTTAAGATTTTTTTTCCTTAAGAAATTTTTGTGACGATAACTATCAGGATATTTAAATACATATTGTTTCTACATATAGTCAGCTTCTTTAACAGTATCTCTGCCCAGTATCCCAAGATCTTTCCATGTATCATAACACCTTTTGTCTTACAGATCTGATGTCATCAACCCAGGAAAGATATGTCTCTTTTTCCATTATTTTTAGACTGCTTTAGTCTGATAGAGAAAATAGAATCCCCATTTTGGAACAGAGCTTCCCTATGTTTTTCTCAAACTGATAAGATATTTTGCTATTTTAAAATAAGTTGCCAGTATGGTCATTAGTAAAAAAAAAAAAAAAAAGACAAATAATTGCTTATCATTGCTTATATTACAGAATTGACTGGGGAATAGAAAAATAGAAATTTCTGGACAAAATAATGAAGACTTCTATATGCTTTATTGTAAGCTAATAATTAAATGACAACAAACTACAAGTGAAGCCTCAAATCAAAGATGTTCTTGAAGAGGAAAAAAAAAGAAACTCCAATTTCTCACTTTACTGTGAACACAAGTTATATATATTATAGCTTCTAGAGTTCTATAAAGCATGCCGAGAGGTCTTTTGCAAAGCATGACAGTGTGCAACATTAAAGATGTTCCTCCTCTGGAAGGATCAGCATTGCTGCTTTGAATATTGCCCTTGGTGGTTTGTGTGCGTGCGTGTATGTGTATGTGTATGAACGCATGTATAGATAACACTTTTGCTGTGACCATCCGTGAAGCAATGCAGCTGTATATGTACACACAGGGACAAAGAACCAGAATAGCTTCCTTTAACCCTTCAAATAAGGGATATTTTGTACTAGTAAGCATTGTAAACCAGCTCTTCTGAATGCAATTTTACACCCTACTAGTTTTTCCAATAGTATGTTAAAAATTACCATGCCAAAAGTCATCAGATAGGGACAAAAAGACACTGGAATTTCTCTTATGGCCACAGCACATCTCCCTCCTCCCTTCCCGATACTCTCTCTCTCTCCCTCTCTCTATCTCTCTCCTTCCCTCTCTCTCTCTCTCTCTCTCCTACCTAACAAACCAGAAAATAATGCAAGAGTGCTGACAGTAGTGCTGAAACACACAATTACAGTGAAATGGAGCAGTTAAGTTGTGAGTTATAAAGGTGAACCAAAGTGGAAAAGAACAAACTGCTCGGGTAAGTTCCAGCCATTAGAGGGCAACAGCTTCAAGTTCAAAAATTCCAAGCAGGAAGAGATAAGGGAACAATGTATATGGACCCATTCACAGACACATTTATTTGTTCTGTGCAAATAAACAGAAAATCAACTATAGATAAATGATAGCCTCAAATGAAGTTCAGCAAATTTTAGCCTCAAAACGAATCAACAGATAATTTGCAGGGGACTTTAGTTTGCCTGAGTATTCACCTCCCTCCAGGTCCTCTAATGTTATATGCACAGCAACAACTGGACACAGGATGGGCCTTTTCACATACTGTGCAATTTGGTTGATATATTACTTCAAACTGGAAATTCACCCTAAATTGCACCCTAAATTGTAGTGAAGGTAACTGACTTTCATTCATAAATACCTGGTCACCAATAAAGCTTGGAGAACAGGAGGAGGCAGGGAAACCTGTATAAAATATAGATTCTGAGCTATTCTCCACCAAGTGATATTGATGATCCTGATGAAACTTTATCTCAAAATAGGTTTCAATATTGTTGCTAATAATTTGTAAGTGAGATAAATTCTAACATAGGGTAAGCATTAATTGATTTCTCAGGAATCTAGTATCAGGTTATGCCTCATTCCGACAAATGTCCTTAGGCAGTTTCAGAAGAATGTTCCTTTTACCTTCTATGTAGCAGCTTTTTTGTTTATACATATTAGAAAAGGGATTATTGATCTGCAAACTTCACTGGATATTCTTTTGTGCTTGAGTTTTTGCTTGAAGCACTCTAGTAAAGGAGAATTTGTCATAATATATGGCAGCCTGTTTTACTGTTAATAGCTCAAACAGTCAGCAAATGCTGAAATACCTTTCTTCTAGTTTTAATTCAATGTTTCTGACCCTATCCTCCATGGCAATGGAAAATAAATCATCGTCTGTGTGACAACCCTTCAATATTTGAAAACTGCTTTCATATTTCACCTTAGTTGTTCTTCTTATAAGATCCTTGGTTTGGTTTCCTTCACTATCTTGGTTGTGCTCTGCTGAACTTACTTGAATTGGTCATCATTCTTTCAGAGATGCAGTGCTCAGAACCAGACAGAATATTTCATGTGGGGTCTGACCCAGGCAAAGGAGAATTACTAATTAACAATTGTTTTCCATGTTCTGGACTCTCTGCTCCTTTTAAAACTGCCCACAAAATATTGCTGCAAAAAAGACCAGAGTCCAGGCACAACTGACAGCAACAGCATGTTCAGTAACAGCTGACAACTATAGAGTGGTTTTATTGTCGTTTAAATAACTTTCTTACCTGCTTTCTTATAGTAGAACTGCGTCTGCTGTTGATCCAAGAATTCACATGAACCGTTATCAACAGATGAGGGAGAACAGGAAGAGAAAGCAAAAGCATGTTTCAAATAAATCATTTACAACCAAAGTATCAGTTTATTTTAAATATAAATAGTTCATCAGTGAGTGGTGATAGAGAAGAAACAAAGTCAAGAAATAGTTCCATTAATTTATTTCAAGTTTTAAAATCTAATTTAAAATAAAAGTACTATAATGGTCAAACAGGTACAGCAGGGTGTATTGCTAACAGAAGGCTATACTTAACCTTTTACTTCCAATCTTAGAGAGCTTCACTATAAAGCTCCTTCTTTCTGTAATGTCATTTAGAAATTATTTAAAGGCAGTACCATGCTAAGAAATGCATACTCTTCTGGGTAATTTACAACAAGGATGACGAAAATTCAAATTATTTTCTCTGAAACAAATTCAAACTTAATGGCACTTTATTAAAACATGTCTTCAATAAAAAAGTAGCAGGATTGAAATAACAAGATCAAATACAAACCATCTCATAAATATGTTTGTGATTTCTTATATATTACTGGGAGACTCAGAAAGAGTAAAATGGTCATTAAAACATTTGTTTAGGTGTTCTTATGTGGAACACCTTGTCACTCATTTTAAATATATTGGAGTACAATCATATCTGCTGAGACTGTCACTTGAAGCAGAGGATTAATGGGTTTCTCAATTTTCAATGACCAAGGAATGTAGTGATATTAGAAGTCAGCTAGAGATTTATGCAGTGTATCTATGGTGGCAGCTAACCTAATGATATTTCTCAGGAGTCCTTAAGACCCACAGAAGTTTAGTTTGTCTTTATAATTTATCTACAGATCCAAGGCACTTCAACTTAATCATTTAGATGGCTCTCCTGAGGACCTGTGGAACTACACCTTGAACTGATGTGATTGAAATCCTTCCTATGGGAAAACAGAGTTGGCGCTAGACTGACTTATGACTTCTAAAATAACTCTGAAGGAAAAAAACTGGAATGCATGACACACTCACTCCATACGTTTTTTTGGATGAGATAACAGTTAATACTAGTATTTGTTGTATATAGAAAGTCTAATTTCAGGTAATAACTTTTCTAGGTAAACTATCACAGAAAGAGTCACTACTTAGCTGAAGTAAACACCTCCAGATAAGATAGAGCAGGAGTGTCCAATCCTTGGTCTGTGGATCAGCCCCACTCCATGGAATGCCAGAAACCAGATTGCGCAAACAAGTGAAGCCCCATCCGTGGGATGCAGGCAGCACATGAAACCATGCCTCTCTGGTCCACGGAAAAACCTTTCTCCATGGAACCAGGCCCTGCTGCCCAAAAGATTGGGGGCCACTGATACACAGCAGTAGTCTGTCAAAAAATAAGGTAGTTTTCCATTTCCATTTCCTTCTTCTGTTTGTTTCCTGCTCTGGTGTCCTATCAACCTTAGTATATAAATACAATGCACACCTTTTAAAATCTTACATATTTACACCCAATTTTCTTATTTTGACAACAGTTCCATAATGGTTAACAATAAATAGTTAACCTAATGTTATTGCCCCAAATCAGAGATGAATGACATACACACAAAAAGATTGATCTTAATTACTGCCTATTTGTATATACTATTATATGCTTATTTGCACCTACAATGGACAAATAGATGCTTGCAATTACAATGTTTTTCATGAAGTTTATTTAGAAGCCCAGGATGCTCACTTTTCCCTATTATCCTTTAATTGAAAGCAACAGTTAATAGAAGCCCTTCTCTACTGTTTATGTTGTCAGATAAATAGTAATTTTGATAAAGAAGATTGACAGGGATGGACAAAAATGTATGGATTAAATCTTGTTTACTTCTTAGTCTCCTGTTTGAGATGTCAATGGAAAGTATCATTAGGGTGTGAGATAACATAAATGATAGAGTTTATATATTATGGCTAGCCAGAATATGATTGATTTGCTTTGGTGTTAACTTCCTGTGTTGCTTGGCAAACAAACTAAGCTTTAAATATCATGGTCTAGTGGAAAGTGGGAACTCAGTCATTATAACAAATACAGAGAACACAAAGGACACTGTTCTTCCAATTCAATTCAGAACATTGGTCCTTAGAATGGTCTATGCTGGCTGGCAGAAGCCACCTATTCAGATTCAACCATTTTTTCCCCCAAATTCTCCTTAAAATGAAGCAATTTTCCTATAGCTGTGCACCATTGGTAGAAGGCAACACTTAGCAAGGATTAGTAGTCAACATACTTAATCTCAAACATATAATATAAATGGATTCTCTAAAAATGTTGACAACTTTCTCTTAGAATTCGGGGAACTTGAAATGACAAATATGGAGTATTGTGGCAATATACTATTGAGATAATTAGGCTAGATATGAACTATCAGCCTGCCATTCATTTGCCATCCTGCTCATTGTTCTTTGATTCTATAATTAAAATCTGTTTTCAGCTGTCCATGTTCAACTCAACTTGAAAGTAATGGAAGCAACTGGTGATAAGTCAAACTGACTGATGTGTTGTTTGCAGTGTTTTTCAGGGTATGGTTTTATTACTTTATGAGTGTAATTCACCTAGAATCATAAGGGGGTGGCATACGAATGGCTGCATCATTAAATAAATAATGGCAAAAAGGAGCACCCCATTTTATCTTTTTGGAAATCAGCTCTGATAGACTCCCCCCTGCTTTTGCTTCCAATTCAGTTATTCCTATTCTGACAAATGAATTGCTGGAAATAAAAGTTACTGGAAAAAATAGTATATAATTCAACTACTTGCCAAAACAGATGCATGATGAATTTGAAAGAAAAGCAACCTTTCTTGTGCTTAAGAAACATTTTTAATTTTGTGGTGTTTTTTTTTAAAATCAAGACTCAAGAAAAACTCCAGATGCTTCCTCTGTTGTTCTCTCATGTGCTGTTTTTATCTGTGTTTTTTTATTCTTTGTTTTTATACCTTTTGATAATTGTAAGTAATGAGAAGTTGCTGGTGTCTTGTTGTTGTTGTTGTTGTTGTTGTTGTTGTTGTTGTTGGATTGGAATAGCAATGGAATTCCAATACAGTCCCAATAATAGCTGAATTATTATTAATAATAAATGAAAATGGCGGTGATGCAGGTTCCCCTTACAGGCAATTTAAGGTATTTTCAAATGTTGATCTTACTACCACCATTATATTTAATACTGTACCACAATGAATTGTATTTCATTACTGCAAGTGTCAGTTCCCAATTAGGAACTATCAGCTGAGCTTGATTTTTTATTGTATTTATATACTTGATTTATATCCTATCTTTCTTTCCACAGGGATATATAAATCAAAGTAATTATTCCAGAACAGCTAACCTTTTTTAAAAAATACAAACATGTGCCATATGGACATACATCTTTGCTTCTAGGCCAACAATAATGGCAATTTGGAGATTTGTAACATTCCACAGAAGACCAATAAAAAGTCATTTTTTTCAATTATCATTTCCACATCTGAGGTGACATTTATGATAGAATGATTGATGTCGGGCCCAGTTATAACAAAACGTTTATTCTCTTCACTGATTTAATCCAATTCTCTGTCAGACCAGATGGGGTCAGTGGGGTAAAATGGAAGAAAACCTCTGTATGATTGATCTCTCCCCTCCTCTGTTAGGCAATCAAAAGCACTTCAATATTTTTTTTCAGGGCTTTTTATCCTACTGGATAGAGATGAATCTAGCAGAGCAGAGTGCTAGCCTGAGAAAATCTAGAGAACCTAAGATATATTATTGGCTAAATAAACAAATCATAGGCTGGGTTCACAATGAGCTAAACCAGAATTAAACCAATCAACCATTATGGTTTGTAAGGTTCATGGCTTAGCATGATGTGAGAACTCAACCAGTTAAAAAAATGCAGCACAGTAAAATGTTATTAATCTGAATCTCTTTTTCTTTCTCAAGTGCATTTGGTAATTGGAACATGATGTGGGACTCTCCCAAGTTAAATTTTGCTTTTCATTTAATTTGGAATTCTTTACCGATGTTTCCTTCTGAGAAGGCTACGGCATACTACTTCTATATCTTTGACAAGAAAATGTACAGACATATCTGTTACATATCTAAGTCAATCTGAAGAGGACTTTATCTTTTAACGATATGTCCCATTTTCTACCAGCAAAAAAGTTCTGAAGCAAAGGTGAGGAAACAAATAGTATTATGGTCTCAAAATACTTATACAACTATCACAATCTTTTGTGGCTAGGTGGACAATTGGATAGAGATATCCACTGCTAATGTAAAGCCATTATCAAATATAATAGCTCCTTCTGACCTTAGACTGACAGTCAAATGACATGATCAATACTATGCAAATTTCTGTAACAATCTAGTTATAATCCATCAAAATTCCAAATTCAACAATGCATACCAAAGGGAATACATGGCATGACAACAATTTTTCACTCTGAACCATAGCCAATTCTTTTGTTTCTGATGAATATTCTAGTTTACGAATGGCCTCATCGCCTAATTTCATGGGGTTTTTTTTTTTGTTTTTTTTTTTGGGTGGGGGGGGGCGCTGCTCCAAAGATTTCTAAACGAAACCAACATTTCCATGAACATTTTATAAAAGAGAATTAAAAACCTGTGATGCCATTAAAGAAATGATTGTTTGGAGTTGAATTAGTTAACATTTGGTTTTCAGGAAACTCCTGTTTTGCCTGTTGGAAGATACTCAAACAAGGAAGCTGCCACACCTACCTCGCAAGAGAGCAGTCAGTCCTTTGACCTGTGATGAGAAAAATGAAAACAAATTATGTTTTTAAACAGAGGGGAAAATTTTTGCAGGAGAAAAAGGCATGTGAAAAAATTTGAAAGGGAACTGGAAGAAACTACAGTATTATGGGAGGGAGAAGACACACAGTGGCTGATTCCCCTCTAGATCAGTCATTTTTATCAAGAAGATAAGCAGCAAATTAGGTAATATGGAGTTCTTAATGCTCTGACCTTGGTCTACTAGCTTTACTCTACTGTGGTAGAGTAAATAGGGCAAATTATTACATATAAATAGGCAGCAAATGTCACTCCCATTCATACTCATGTTACCTAGTTGAATAATGAAAGACAACAATAATGAAAGCTCAGGGAACACCAAAATCTCAAAAGTTCAAACTTAGTTACTGATATTTTTTTCTACTAGATCAGGAAATGTACAAAATAGTTCTTAGCTGTCTGAGGACTTGCCTTGCTCTTTAGACACTGACTTGCTATACCTGCTAGAATTGTTCAAGTGTAATAAGAAGACATGGCAGGAAGTATGACATTTCTTTCTCTTTCTCAGCAAGAGATTACTATTTTTCAGAAATCACTCAGAAAATGTGCACAACATTTTTAGATTTATTAGCATGGAATGTTCTGTCAAATCTGGTCACGCTGGCTGTGGATTAACTGATCTTTCACGCCATACCTCTGGAGAGCTGCTGGCTGCTCTACAAGGTACAATGTACTAGCAGACTAGCTAGTTCAGAAGTCCATAGTTTTATTATTTCCTGTCTTTTTATTTATTTATTTTTAAATCCACAACTATTTCAAATGAGGAAAAAGACACCAAACTTCAATGCACGGGGCATTATGGGCAATATTTAAAAGGATCTCAACTTACAGTGATAGAGAAGACACACATTATTTGACAGATAACAAAACTAAGATAGCTTTTTCTATTGCAATGGTATTGATTTATATCGGCTATAATATTTCCCCCAAGATCAGAAATGAAACTAATCAAATACGGCTAATTGTTAATCATGGACAATAAATAACACATTTTAAACAATCACTTTCCCACTCCCAGGGAAAAAACTTAATTATTCAAAGCAGTTCATATTTTATAATAACATTATATTAAACTAGAGTTTCTTACCGTTTGCCCCATTTCCATTACAGAATATTAATATGAATATAACTACATGGCTTTAACAACATCAAAAGGCTTTAGTATTAAATTAATAAATGCAGGTAAAAGATAGGAAATAATTATTCTGTACCAAAGAAATCTACTGATATTTTCTATTAATGGAAACTACCATGTCCAGAGTAAAATAATTTACGAGTCAGAAATAGAATGGGGCAGAGAAAACAAATCAATACTGTTTGCCCCAAAGCTAGATAACCAGTAGTATTTTGCAGTCTGTTGAGCAATCGCTAACAAAGAAACAATGCCAAAGATTTCAAGCAAGCAGTTTCTGGTCCTACAACATTTATCAATAATGGTTAAGATTAACATCTAAACCCACTTCAATTTATAGCATTTTGCTTCCAACATTCTTGCCAACCCAGATAATTCCATTTATCTCTTTTTAAATAGCTTAGATTCAGGACTGGGATCTTTGTGAGCAACGTGAATTCACAAAAGCTTTACTAAGGACCAGAAAAAGAGATTTTCTGATTTTATGAAATCAGGCAAAAAATACCTTCGGTGTTTTTGATGCTCTCCTGGCAGGGAGTCAGTTAAAAGGACAAGCAGGTTAAGAGAAGCAGTATGTTAGAATGCAGAAATCAGCAGTGATTCAAGAATGTGGTTTGTCACAGGGTCAGCTTGAGTATTATATGGTGATACTCAAAGGGAGGGAAAATGATCAAAGAAAATAACCTTTCTGACTTGTTTTACATGATAGCGGAATAATTCCTTTAACTGAAAAAATCTTTTTTTAAAAATATGCATACTGCTTCATTTGACTTCAAGTGGGATGAAGAAGAACAATTTTGGTTTATGTTTTTGGTTAAAAATAACAAATATTTTCATCCAATAATTTGTGTATTCAGGCCACAGAGCCCTTTCCAAGTCATCTGCATTACTTCTCCTAGACTTCTTCACAGTCTGAAGAAATAAAAATGTCAAGTTTCTATAATAATTCCCTAAATATAAAATATATATTTAAAGCTGCCTGTGCTCGGCCAGGGGAACCTAGCCATATGGCTCAGGGAAAGATTTTATAAAAATCAAAGAAAGTTCTGCAAAATATTGGTTCACTGCAATTTAGAATAAATTTTGTGATTTACATTTTTTCTCCAAAGACTTGAATGCTGTAAGTGGAACCAGATCAATATGAAGAGCTACTTTATTGTTTGGACTTGATTCTTGCAGTTAAATTAAAAGTGAATGCTATTCTGCCAACTTATTTAAATTATCTATCCTTGCTCTTCTCAGATTATGAAATGGCATCTTTGCTTCGGTCACTGGCACCAGACAATTAATTCCAACAATAACCATTGCTAATCTATTCATTTTATTAAAGTGCCAATAGGCTAGATGCATGCCAAAGTACTTTTTAATTCTACTTGAAAACACCCAATTTTCCTGTGTGGCTAAAAAATCCACACAGACATGGGAAGCAACCTAGTTCAACAATAAAAGTGCTTCCCTAATGATAGAATATTTGCACACCATGAGGAAAAAATGATTAATTGCAAGAATTTACCTAATTTGATTCTGTAGATATGCTGAAATGGGAGGGGAAGGGAGAGAAAATGGTTTCACTTAAACAAATAGATGTTGCACATTATTGGCTCATTAAGCACTTCCCTTTTGCCATTACTTAAGCAGCACTGCAGGGATGGAATAATAAATCCATAAAACATGACTTTGTCCACTTAGCATTGATAATCCAAGATTGTTATGCTCAGTCAGCTGCCTAATTTAGTAATTACAAAGGCTGGGCTGACACACTGACAAGCAATTCTCATGCTTACTTTCTCCCAAAGTCTTCTGGAGGAGATCATGCTTGGCCTGGAGCTTGGTGATGAGATTCCTCCCTTCCAGATATTCCTTCAATTTCTAAAAGAAAAAAAAAGAAAGAAAGAAAAATATCTCTGAAGAATTTAAATTTATTTCACAAATATTTTAGAGCAATAAACCAAGGAATCAGAAAGACTTTAAAAGAGTCAATATTCTGCCATGTTCCATTTGAAAACTATTATGTGAGAAAGAATTTGGAACAAATTAACCACTGTGTTTGGTGTTACATAATTAAAACCAATATAATTACATTTTTTTCAATCAGAAATCCCTTGATGGCACAGTAATGTAAGCAAACTTTTGTGGATCAGATCAGAGATGGCAGTGTTGCTTCACGTAAGAAGAACCAATCAACACTAGTAACCTTAATGTCTGTCCTTCATTGAAATGATTTCATCTTTATTTCCTCTGCCTTGTTCTATGGCTTTTAAAATAGGATTAATAGTAATAATAGTAATTAATTCAGACTAAGAATGGTAAAGTGTACAGGTGTAACCCCGTTAATAATGAAGCAAAGATATCTGTATGCTGACTGAATTCCTTTTTCTTAAAAAAGAGTTCCATGTAATCCAAATTAAATATACAATGCTTTAAAAGAAAATATATATAATCCCTGGAATATCATATATCACATGGATACTTGAGACAAAGCCCTCTCAGATCATTGAGGATTCATCTAATCCAGCATTCAATTAGCACTCAATTGTTTCTGGAAGAACATAAACTGTAGCTGCTATTCAATAATGGAAGATATGCTGCCTATAAATATGAGGTTGCCCTGATACCCAAAGGTGCAGAGTTTCCAGTGTGATTTTTGTCATTTTGGTGAAAGTAGTGAGTTCCTATGGAACCTGCTGGATCTACCCTCTCTTTGCATTTTGTGTAATTTGTGTGATGATATTGTTAACAAGTAACATAAATGGACACAAATGATTTTATTTACTTATTATATATGTACATTTGCCAAAATTTGCTGTTCAAACAGATATTCAACAATAAAAACATAAAAGAACAAATTACAAGAAAAGAGAAAGCAATTCTGAATATAATAACCTCCGGCACCTTTACTGTAATGGACAATATTACTTCAACAGTTAATGAAATAGTTAATATGGAAAATATCTTTAATTTTACAATTTATTGAAGGATGTCTGGAGGAGGGAATTCCAGAAAATGAGGTCCATCAGAGAGAAATATTGTCTACAGTTTACATCAATCTCACCTCTGATAAATATGGGATACTCAGCACCATAACTAAGACAAATATATTTGGCAGTTGTGTTATATGTACAGAATAAGATCTTTAAGATATGTAGAGCTTTAAAAACTAAAGCCAATACTTAAAATTGTAAATGTTGCTATAAATCAGAAAACTACAAAAAAGAGCGTGAGCATAAAATATGCATACATTAACACCACGTCAGAATTTGTAAAGCACTGAAGATTTGGATATGTTCCAACTCCTGGGAGATGTGAGGTTAGATAGCTTGTTGACAGATTTTTCCTCAATTGCTTTGTTTAGATTTATTCTTGGCAACCATTGTATGATTTTACCTTACTATTTTTAACATGTTGTTAGCTTCCCAGATTCAAATTTGTGAAATCCACAACCATATAAATTGTTTTAATACACACATACATACATTTAGGCCACACTGGTCAAATTGAAATTTCAATTAATCCCCCAGTGAAAAAAAGCTGACACAACCTCTGCATTTAGAGTTAATGCAGTATTTGTCAGTATTAAACAACAACTTCCTAATTTTGCTATGTGAACAATTTACACAAATACTTAAACCCATGACCCCACCTCTTTTAGTACAATTAAAGTAAATTATCATTTGAATAAAATGTGACACCTGATGATAATGTGGACACGTCAATGAATTTTTCTTGGCAGCAACATAGATTGCCACTGCTTTCTCCCCAGAAAGGTTTACTACCCTCCCCAATCTAGCCTGCAACTCTGGTTTTTTCAGGTGGCCTTCTATTAAGTACTAGACTGGTCCCATTTTACTTAGCTTATTTCCCTTTTTTTCAGAGATCAAGGGATATACATGGGGGTTTATTATATTTTATTCTTTCAACAACAATCTTATTAGATTGAGAAACAGTAACAGGACTAAAATTGTTCAGTGCTTTTTCACTGAATGAGTTTTCTCAGTCTTAATAACTTAACGCCTATATAAAAATAATTATTTACAAACAAAATTTTATCCTACATGAGGACAAAATCACCATAGAATCCAGCTTGTCATTCCTTATGAACAGATATGCCAATTCAGATCATGAGAGAAGCATGAGGAAGTGCTAGAGTTGCCTCACCCAACAGATTTTCCATAGTAATAAGCTCCAGGGATTTATTTCTACGGTTTTACTCAATCATTTTAATCCTTGGTAAGATCTTTTAGATCTACAGTATTCGGATTATACTTTGCATGTACCCATTTATATACTGATCTTCTTATAAAGAGCTCAAGGCAGCTTCACAACAACAACTCTATGACAATCTGAAAGTGGACTTAAACTTGGATGTCCCTGATTTAACCCTACATCTTAACTATAATATAGAAAAATATATTGTGATGACCATCTGAGACCATCTCTAAAGGACCCCATAAAACTGGGCTGGTTACAAATTTCATATGACTCACCTTAAATATTTGAAATTACTTTCCTAGAACTTCAAGGTTACAGTTCTTTTCTTCTTACAATATGTATGAAAAAGTTATATGAATTTCAAAAGAACATAAAAGGTTTATGCCCTATTCAAGTAAAGTGTTCTTGAAAAGTGCTCAATGGAAACTCCTTAATCTTCTTAGCTGACACAGACTTCATTAAATACTAGAGGTGTCTAAGTATCTACACTGTTGACATTTTGATGTGGGTATTCTTTATTCAATATTAGTTTAAATGTTTTATATTTCAGTGAACTGATTAATTACAGAATTACAGGTGATGGCTTTTCAAATTGATGGCTAAACAAATAGGGTTAATCCCACTGCTTTAAAGAGCAAATTGCCAAAAATCAGAGCAATTAGGTTTTTAAAAGGTAGTAGAAATAAATTTTTGAATAAAACAAAACAAAATTTGTATATTGTATAATGCAAAATTAAAACAATTCTCAAGATAAGGATAAATGAACACTAAAGCAATCTGCACTTCCCTGAGAGATTTAGGAAACAGTTTGCCAAAGCAGTGATTGGAGCACCTTTCAGCATTGATATGTTCACAGTTCAATGGCTTACTCCCTGCTGTCAGTCAAGACTCCATTAAAATAAATACCCACCTGATAATAAGGCAGGACAATTGCCTGCCTGGAGCCAATTTAAATTGAAAGTGATATTCTGAACCCTCAACTATTAGGTCACCTTAGGAAGATATTTTTAAAAGCCCACAATGGACTCCTATTATTCCAAACATTTTGCTTCCAAATAATACATAAACCTGATGCTGGTTTATAAGTAAATGAGGCCTGAGAAAAAAATAAATCATACTGTGTCCCATTTTGGGAAAGCAACATATTAAGATTCACACCTAACTAGAACGATAGTGTTTTCTGATTCTTTCCCCACCCACAAAGAAAAACTTAAACCTATTTCCAATCTAAGATGTTACGTTCATCTGACATGCAACTTTGAAAAATATTTGGAACCCAACACTTCCTCCCCTTTAAAATGGGACTGATCAATGTTTCAAAATTAAAAGGTATATTATATTCACTTTGAAGGACAGGACAGGACAAGACAAGGGCTTGAAACTGGTCAGCAGGAATTTTTGTGTCTCTAGCCAAAGACAGAAATTTTATAAACAAGGGACAGAAAGCAGAAACAAGACTTGGAAATGAGTAACCAAATGGCTATTGATACAAAAAGAAAGAGTAGCAAGATTTACACATCAAAGAGGCTATCTATGTCAAAATTGAACAGCCCCTCACTCAACAGGGAGGAGGGGAGATATGGCATCATCTACCTCCAGTCTACAACACAGACCTTTCAATAGTTCCAAGAAGGCTCCACACCCATTTGCACTATTCAGGTGACATTGACAACACAGATAAACCTCCAGGTGGCCTTAATAACTTGCTAAAAGAATGCAAATGACCAGCTGTCTGCAAGGAGTATAAATAGGGCGTTGGTACTTACCTGACACGCCCATTCTCTTTGAGCTGTGAAGAGCATCCAGTAGTGTGAGGTGCTTCAGTCTCTGCATGTCTAGGCTGGCTTAATTTGTGGAATGCTCCTCCTCCCAGTTTTGGCGAAGATGAGAGAAATAAACACCCTCGTCCTCAATGCCCTAACAATTCATTGGCCGAAACAGGACCCCACCAGATGGAAAAAGGGTGGGGCTGGATGCTCTTCACAAGCCAAAGAGAATGGGCGTGTCAGGTAAGTACCAACGCCCTTTCTCCCATGAGCTGTTCAGAGCATCCAGTAGTGGGACATACCAAAACTTGGCCTGTCCTACGGGAGGGACTCCGTCTGGCTTGGAATTCCTTCCTGATCCCTGTGGACCCGTTGCAGAACTCTTCTGCCAAAGGAGGCCAAAGTGGATGCAAACACATCTATTTTATAATGCCTGATGAAGGGCGATGGAGAGGCCCAGGTTGTGGCTCGACAAATTTCAGTTATTGGTGCCTGTGTGGCCCACGCTGCCGATGTTGCGGCGCTCCTTGTTGAATGAGCTGTTATGCCCCTGGGCACCGGTAGTGATTGAGTCTGATACGTTCGCTATCGCGGCCCATAGCAAACGGCCTATTGTAGAAGATGAGACCTTGCATCCCTGAGTGTTGGGCTGAAACGACACAAATAAGGCTTCCGTTTTTCTGAAAGTTGCTGTGCAGTGAATATATATTCGCAATGCTTGCCTCACATCAAGCCATTGTAGTTCCAACCCTTGGGATGGTTTGGGACAAAAATTAGGAAGTATCAGCTCTTGTGCCCTGTGAAAAGCCAAATTAATTTTGGGTATAAACGTAGGATCAGGACGAAGGACCACCCGGTCAGAATGGAAGACACAAAGATCTTGTCTGATCGACAAAGCTGCAA